AACAAAAAATTTTAACAACCAACCATAAGAGGCAAAATTTTGTTCATATAGCATCCATGTGCTTTAAAATTAATTTCAATTGTAATTCGTGCACATATACAAGAACTCGTAATATACATTAGTGGTTGCGTATCATTAATGAATTACTAAATCGGGATGTAACGAACATTTTCCTTTAAAATAAAATTCATTTCTAAAATTTTAATTTACATAGTTTGATTTTTATAATTTAAGTGTAATTATTATTTTTTTATGCATGGTATTTAGTTTATCGAGAATATATTTAAAAAATTGAAAAATATTTGCAATAGCACATATAATTAAAAACTCTTACAAACTCTTTGTGATGTGCTTTTAAGGTGTTTATTAATTTGAATTAAAAAATTTTGCTAAATGCATAAAGAATACCAAAAAATACTTGGTTTTCGATAATATCTTTTAAGAAGTTAGTTGGTAAATATCAAAAAAACTGTAAAAATGTGTTAATTCTATATATAAGATTTAAACAAACTTTTACTTCACTTATATAATTGAAATTATATCGTATTTTATTTATCGCATGCATATTTGCGAGGACAATGACATAAGTCAAAATGCCGAGTCAGAAACTAGCTTTTATTACTACATATTATATTTTAATATATAAAGAGCTTTTCTGTAACAAAATGCAGAATACTTGTGTACAATAGAAAAATTTCTTATCAGAAAATTTGTTCATATACCTACTTTTAGAATAATTCCATACCAATGTTTTTTAACCTTCGATAGTAATTCACACTCGACTATAAATACTTTAAATTCCGATTACCAAAATGATATATTTGGGTTGTGTCGTTATTCTTCCCAATGTAGGATATTTAATTTTTAATTTCAATCTGTTTATACTAAGAAAAATAAAATAATAATTGCATTTAAATACAAAACTATGAATTTAAATAGAAAATTATTAAAAATAGTATTTAAAATTATTAATTTAAGTTTATTCAACTTAACTATATTGAATTTGATAATTCAAATATTATAGTAGTTCATTTACTTAAATATTTTATTATGACTATAAAAAACATTTAAAATTAATGGTATATAATAAAATATTTAATGCTTATAGGTCAAAAATCTTCCCAAAATTTATTTTAAAATCAAAATAGCTATATAAACCTTTTGAACGCAAATTAAATTGTTAAAAATTATTTAAAATAATTACATTCATTCAATTTTATGTACACACTCTCGTATAAATTTATATAGTATGCACGCGTGACTTATTTAAATGATAGGGAAGAAATATGTTGCTATTCTGTAAAAATAATTTAATAAAAAAAAAAACAGCATAAAATTTAAGTTTGCAAATTCTTTTCAAATAAATTCTTTGTGTTATAAATTTTATTTAGATTTTTTCTTAAATTAATTTCCTATTGTTTTCTTTTAAAACATAAAAAATATTTATATTAAGCAAACCTATAAGTATGCAATGTGTGTATACATGTACTATACCAATAATTTGATTTTATTTGCAAAATTTATAATCACAAACACATATATTTTGGGAAATAATTAAATTACGTACGATTTATTGAAGTAAAGCTACCGCGGAGTAATTGAGAACAAATTTATAAATGGACCAGTGTATTTTATACTATCATTAGTCTATTACATGTAAAATAAGATAGCATATTAAACAAAATCTGTTATACAGAAATTCTTTATGCAGTCTTTTGCAGTTATCATACATTTAAACCTTTCCATTTGCCAGAGTGTTATATACACCTATGAAAAGTAACAAATATGTTCCGAAAAGTGATTCGCCCAAGTTTGGGAAGTTTGCTTACAACATTTTTTTCAGAAATAAAATTTTATTACCTCCAAAATCTATGAATTCATTTTAAATAATCTAGTTAATTGTGACTTTTAAATAATCTAGTAACTTCGAAGACGATTTCATTTCCACATTCTTGTTAGACGGTAAGTCGAACAAGCCTGAAATTTTGAAAACTTTTCAGAAATTAATAAATGTTTTATTTTTTCATTTATTAATTTCTGCAACAAAAATTTTTCCCCTTCCAAGTTATCCGTCACTTAAAAGTAGCAAAATTTCAATTTTCTACTTCTAAATTTTCTAAAGCTGCAAAATTTTAAAAATTTAATATCCAAATTCCTAATTCAGCAGCCTCGACGAATTCTTCTATTAATGCTTCCTTTAATACTTATTTATACCCCCAAAAGTATGCAATTAATTTTTTATTGCACAAAATAATTTTTTTACATTAATGAGTTTTAAAATAATGTGTTTTTTTTTCTTGTCATGTCCAAAAGAGAAGTGCTACCTTACAAACCATTGGTTTGGCCTGATCCAAATTTATTTTTCTAAGATTTGCAATTTATAAAATTCAGAAATTTATTTTGTAATGTAAAGTAATCACATATTTAAAAAATAATTAAAATTTTTTTATTAAAAATGAATACTGTGATAAAATCTTCAATTAGTGGAATTCATTAGCATAAAAATCATCATTTCTCTTATTTTTATTACTATTATAAATGTTATATTATTACTATTATAAATGTATGTATGTGTGTATGTAAGTAAATTAGGTATAAACAAGTTTTTAATTAGATTACAATCTTAAAAGTTCATATTGTAATGAAAATTTGCGATGAAAAATTGAAAAACTATTCTAAGAATTTTAAAATTTTTATTATTTCTATATACATATAAACAATATACATCTTCATATACATATATGTATGCATATACTAATGCATACTCATACATATGAAGTAAAAATAGATTATGACGTAATATGACGTAATTTATTTAGGTATAGAAAAATGTACATATTTTTTTTTTATTATTATTATAAACACTGATTTGTATTTAAAAAAAAATATATATACTCGTACATACATACAAATATTTAAATATACTTATGTGTTTTTCTTAAAAAATATTGAGTTCATTTGAATTTATTTATTTAGAGGTTTTTATATTATTTATAAGTATATAATATGTGTGTATGTATGTATTTATATATGTACATATTTAAATTATTTAAATGAAAACTTTATAAACTTGTTTGAAATGAAAAACAATATTTTAATGTAATTATAATTTTTGAAAAGCAAAACAAAAAAAAAAAACAAAAATAATTATTGTTAATAATCTTTTAACTAGAAAATTTCAATCAAAAAAAAAAAAAATATTCTTCTAATTTTTTGTAACCTAGAAAAATTATGAGAATATTCTCGAAAATATAGATATATATATATATTATTTATCTATATGTATGTACATATAATTACATACGTACATAAATGAATGGATATATAAATTTAAATGAATTACGAATAAAATGTGTGTTGAATAATATGAAAATTAAAATTATTGAAAAATGTGAGTTTTTTAAGTACTTACATTTACATATGTTACCTTCCATCAAAAATCCAATTCCATTTCGAAATATAGAGCTTTGAAATTTACTATGTAAAAGGTGTTGAGCTAAAAAAACCCAGTTTGTATCTACTTATAAATTAAATGCAATTTGCTGTTAAATGAATAAAATCCATAATGTACTCATATAAATTGTATTCCATTTTAAAGAGTTGGAAACGATCTATTCAAAATTTCTATTAAATATCATTATTCCATTATAGTTCCATTATATATCATTATTAATTTCAATAAGAGAATAAATAAATTTCCGAATTAAAATATTAAATATTGATTCACATGACAAGATCGGAGATTTTGTTTATCATGAAACGGATTAATTCAATACATTTGATAAAGATCCGTCTTCGTTAAATAATGCCAAATAGTGCACCATTTTTTAACATCACTTATAATAAACCTTGCCATAATTAAAACTTGTTAATATTACTGGTGCTGATTTCCGTGAAAACAAAATATTTATACTGGGACCTTTTAGTCTCAAACCTTATAATACTGAATTCAATTGGAAATGTTAGATCTGAATCATGTAAAAGGAAAACAGAAATGAAATCATGTAAAAGAAAAAAAGAATTAAAGAGTTCTAGAAAGCTTTACAGTAAAAAAGGGTCTACAGTCAATTATCACAATTTTATTTAACAATTACATCACATTTAATTGCGTACAAACTCCTTGCAAACATTAATTTTTAAAATATGCAATATTTAAATCGAAATTTAATAAAATTATAAAATTTACTACTCTATACTAAAATTTCCTAGTCAAATTTTAAAATTAAAATAAATTACATAATTACATTGTATGTTCATAATGTGTATGTGTGCATATGTTTATCATTTTAATATTATATAAACACAAAATATGTATGTATAAAACACATGTAATAAAAAAATTATTTAAAAAAAAAAATTGGACAATTTTCTTATTTTTTTGGATATTTTTCAAATTTTATTCCACCGTTGGCATAAAATGAAAAAAAAAAGTAAAAATAAACTTGAAAATAAAAATATGCACAATAAATATATATATATACATATAAAAATATTGACACACAAATGTACACGCATGTTTATTCGTATCTCGCCCACATACACAAAGAAATATTTATGAATTTATTATAGTCAAAATTCTAACAGAAAATTTAAAAATTATGAATAATTTAAAAATTTCAATATTTCGCAATTTAAATTTAAATCAGTGTACATACATATGTACATACATACAACTGCATACACGTATATAGTAGGTATATACATACAAATTAAAATATAAAATGAAATGCAAAAACAAATGATTTGTAAGTCAAAGTTTTTCACTCCATCTATTTGGACCTGGTATTTTAAAGTTCTAACAACTCTTTTACTTTTAAAAACTCATAAGGACTATTTGAAAATTTTCCCAATTCTTAAATCGTGAAGGCCAATTTAACTTGTTGAGTATGCCATCATTTTATACATTATTAATTTGAAATAAGATGAAATTATAAAATAATTTTAAATTTTTAATTTTTCATTACCTTAATACTTATAAATTTTTTTAATATATTTTCCAGGGATTCGGATTTGATCCAGACATGGATGATATATTCTCAGATACTAGGATGCGATCTCGTTTACCGAGGATGAGGGACCCATTTGGAACATTTGGAACACGTAAGCGTTGTGATGTTAATTCAAACCTCGATCCTTATAGTGATATTTTTGAAGATGGTGCTGATGATTTCTTTTCTGGATTTGGAAGAAGACGGAATCCGCATGATTTTTTTGATTTCCCAGAGGAATTTCGTCAATATATACCAGATGGTTTTGGTATACCACGTAGCGGTTCTGGCGGTATATCAAGAGCACATCAGGTTCATCCAACTTATCAACAGCAACCACAATCAAATGATCATCCAATTAATACAGCACAATATGCACCACCATCACCTCAGTATGATAATGTACCCCAATCACCGAAACCAAATTTATGTGATGCATCTATTCAAACTGATGAAGATCTACCAGATGGACCTAATGCTGATAATCAGCAACAAATAAAGTCTAGCAGTGGTCCAAAATTAAATAAAAAATTTAGTCAAGAGAATGAAGAAAACCGTGGACCACGATCACAATCAGCACCTCCTCATCAAAATGAAGAAATTGCACAACAACAACAACAACAACAACAGCAACCAGGTGAGGAACCTGTATATGTAACGTCAGCAAGCTTTTCTTCATCCGCACCACAATCGCAAGGGAAGTTTCCTAAAACTAAATCTCAAGGTAGTGGTGGTATACCGCCACAACCACCACAGCGGCAACAGCAACAGCCATTTTACTTACATAATCAAGGCCAAACTCGTCAGTGGCCTCCACCACCTCAACCACCATCTCCTCAACAAACATATCCACCTGAACCTCAAACTCCAGGTGGAACTGTAATAAGAACGATTCCAATATTTGTTGAAGGGCGTAAAGATCCTATAATTAATGAACATAAGGAAATACCTGGACAAACTACTCCAGTTCAACAACAACAGCAGCCACCCCAGTTTCCCCAACCTCAATATCAACAAACACAAAATCAAGCTCCGCAATATGCTAAACCCCCGGCATATCAAAAACACGCTTATGCAACTCCACCAAAGTCAGGAGCAGCACAGCCACAACAACAACCATTTCAACAGTCTCCACCTCAACAAAATGCTCAACCACAAAAACAATTTCAATCACAGAATAAAGCACATCCAACAGTTGACACACACCAACCCATGCCTGAAGGATCTGATGTACCACCCCAAACCCCTCAAACAATGGATTGTATTAATAAAATACAAAATATTCAACGGGATGTACTGCATCTCATGGAACAAGTTGAAGCATTCGGTGGTCTTAAAAGTGATAAAGAATATATGTATTTAGATGAAATGTTAACTAGAAATCTTTTAAAATTGGATACAATTGATACAAATGGAAAAGAAAGCATACGTTTAGCTCGTAAGGAAGCAATTAAATGCATTCAAGCTTCAATTAATGTTCTGGAAGCTAAAGCTGATGAAAATGCTCGAAGAACTGGTAAATTTGAAGTACGTCATAATAGTATTGAAGAAGATCCTGCCGCTGAAGAAAAGGAACAAAATGTCGATAAAGAAGAAAATCTGAATGTGCTCAATGATCAAACAGTGATTCCATTACCACCACCACCAGATCATAAGGAAGACAAATCAATAACAGATGTTGAACTTAAAAAATCGAATTCATCAATAAGTAAATCAGCCTCAGTAACTAAATCTCCATCAATAAGTAAGTCTGGTTCCCAAGCTAGTGCCGATAAACAAATAATAAATGAAAATGAAAAAATACAAGAACAATCAAATGAAGTAGTTGAGACACAAAATTCAACAGAAAAGGTGCCATCAAAAAGTAAGATACCCGCAAGAAAGAGCAGTAGCCCGACCAAAGAAACTACTGATGAAACAAATAGAGAAAAATCTCGTAGCCAATCCAAAAGTCCATCAAAAAGTCCCACAAAGTTAGCTGCAAAAGAAGGTGCTAAAAAGAAAATTATTAAGAAAATTAAGAAATTGACTAAAAAAGACTCCAAAGAAGGTGATGAAGATGACAATGAAAAATCAAAAAATACTAATGACAAAATTGATGTTTCTGCAAATAGTAATGAAGAAACTGTGAAAACAACCGTAACAACAGAAGAACAGCCCCCAGCCACAGAAACTTCAGAGAAAAAAGAATGAACGTGATTTAAAGGTGTTGATGTTATTTCAAAAAAAAAAAAAAGTTAATATTTTTAAAATAATTTTAGTATTTAAAATTTTTTAAGATTAATTATTTTTTTGCATAAATATAATTTAATTTATTAAAAATAAAATGTACACAAATAAAAATAAATTATTATTATTCTTAACATTTCATTCTATAACTGTTATGTTAGATGTTAAAGAAACAGGATTAAATTAAAATTTAATAATAAAAATATACATTTAGAAAAAAACAATAAATAAAATACATAACATTGACTCATATACATAAATATTAATATCAATTGTAAATAATCGTGAAGAAAATTTTTAATACGATTATAGCGGTATTTTGTTTAAAAATTTGTCTAGTCTCTATTTTAATTATTGAACATTATGTTAGAAATATTAATGATTAAATTGAAAACAAGTTGGTTAAAAATTGTGGTTAATTTCTATTAATTCAAAATATGTAGTTTGTATAAGCTAGATTATCTTTGCAGAATTAAGATTTGCAGAACAATATTACATTTTGAAATGTAATTCCACATAAACCATATAGAACTTCTCCCAATTTTTAATTTCTATTATATATCAGAAAAATATTCTCATTTCCTTGAGGATTAGAAAATACTTTCACAGAGTTGATTACATATTCTTCCATGATTATGCCTAGATACACAGAAGTTGTCAATGGCTGCTTAATAAGCATTTAAAATCCTCAAAGATAAAAAGCATCGAATCGAAGATATTCTAATTAAAATATAAAGTTTTAAAATACAACTATGAACTGAAGTAAGTATTGTATTATGCATGCATATTTGTCATTTTGCTAATGAAAAGAATTAGATGAAATATAACAAGAGCTCAATGTTGCATATTATATAAAATAAAATTAATATTATGATGTGAGCTTTACTCGAAAATAACTTCAATGACGATATTCAAAATCAAACAGGATAACTTTAATTGACTATACAACCAAAATATCATTGATTAATAATTCTATTTGAATTTTTTTATTAAAATATAAAACAAAATTTTAGTATAAATTTTATTTGAATAAAATAAAAATGCAATTTTGTATATAATTAAAAAAAAAACGATTTAGCCATAAGTGGTCTAATAACACATTACGTATTCCCTCATCCCGAAATCTTTGCCATATCTAACAACTCTACTACATGTAATAACATTAGAGTAATATGCTTGCGCTGATATTATGTCACCTTACCTAAAAATTCTTGATTTTTTTCTAAAAAGACTAAAAATTACACAAATACATACTTGTGTTGTGGATTTGCGAGGCTAATTTCGGTACCCCAGACTACTTAAATCGAAACTGGTTTCGAGATGCAGGAATGCGCAACTTTATACACAATAAGTTAGAAATAGAAATATAAAAATAATATAAATTAATGCTTTTAGTGATTTTTATTACTATTATTGTCGTTAGTTTAAAAGAATGTTATATTGTTTTATCTTCTTGAATTTGAATTTCTACATCTTAATAGGTAGTTTTAAGAATAAAGCAGAATCAAAAGAAAAATATTTTAAATACTGTTTAAATAATTATTAAAAATTCGTTACAAATAAAATTTGTTAAAAAAAAAATATAAATAAAATCTTATAAAGTTAAAAACTACTATTTTTCATTTAAAAGATTTTGTATTATGATTACTGAATCTGTAAATAGTTGCCAGTATATAATTTTAATTAACGACTTATCTCAATTTAATGCACTAGCAATGAGCAATAAAATTGAATTCATTTCATTTTAAATTTAAATTGCGTTCATTTCTCAAAATTAAAATCTTTAACAAAAAAAAAACAATCTTTCAGCTTTGTCCATTTGTCATATTTATCTTTTATGAAAATGGAGCACAACTTTACTCTAACATTGTCACAAATTACGCGAAAATATAAAATCTGCATTGAAAAATCGATTATACACATGTAAATTTGCATTAATATTTGTAAAAAAAAAATTAAATTTTGCAATGTTTGTCCTGCCTAACTAATTTTTTCTTCTTTTTCTCTCCATTTCGTTATTGTAATTTTCTGGAATCGCTAAAAATATCGTTGCTCTTCTTCTCTGTTTCCTCAAGTTTAGCAGTTTTTCTCACATTAACGGTTTTATATAGATTCCTGCTTTTTTGAACTTCTTAAATCTTTTTTTACAACTCTTAAAAAAAAAGTTCTCTACATCCCAGGTTCATTAAATTTTAATTTTTTTTGGTAATCTACAATACCTCAAACAACAATATTTCATAGAGTTCTTCTACTTACTTTGTATTCAAACTACAACTTAAAATGGAAACTTACTAATTTTATCAGGTTGAAGTATTACGATGTCACCCCATCTTTATAACTCTATCGCACTACACTATATAATTCAGATGATCTAAGTGATGTTGTTTTTGAAAAATATAATTGGAATCGAATCATAAGAATGATAATACGCCTCAAACAGCTCATGATATTATAGAAATTAGTTACCATTTAACTTAAATTAGCACTGACAAAAAGAAATTATTAAATCTTATATTTAAAATAAAATTTTTACCATTAAACGGAGGACAGTTTCATCAATTTATTATTCAAATACAGCAAATTCAGATATCATATTTAATTTTGTATTTATGTACTTTCATGGAGTACCTCACGATATTTTCAGGTTATTTGTGCTAAAGAAAAATTTATTTCAAAATACATAAATTAATAATCAAATCCCAAAAACATTGAATATTCACAATTTAAAAATTTTCAATAGATTTATTTTCAATTTATTAGTAATTGAAATGAAATATTATGTATGGACTAAGTCAAATAAAGAAATGTTAATGTAAATTTTTCTATATTATAACGTTTAAATTTAATTACATTAAATTTTGTTAAAATTAAGTTACTTCTTAAGTTTTATTTAAATTTTGTCCGTAGAATAAACGAATTTGTAACATACTTTATAACCAACACTTAAAATTTCTTTTTTTTTAACTATTATTGAAATAAATATGTACAATATGTATGTTAGAATGTATCGACTTCTACTTTCCAGATAAAGATACATATAATTTTCTGACATTGATTATTTTATGTAAGTTATTAAATTTACATCAAATATAAGGAAATATAAATTTCGAGTTAAGATGTTTGTGTATATATAAAACATAATTTTTTGGAATTTAAATTATGCACTTTTAATGAACAATATAAAATTTTTATCTTATACACCCTGCATAATACTGTATTTTTCTTAATCTTAATGTGATGTCGTAACCAGCTATTGGAATACGAAATATTGAAGAATAAAGAACTGTAAGTAATTAGTAAGACTTAAATTTATTAGCTTTTCATCGTTTTGTTGAATACTAACATATTGTATATTCATTTCAACTAAATAATTATTAAAAAGTTTTAGCTATTTTCACTTTGCATAGGTTCATCTATTCTTGCAATTTTTTCAAGTAAACTCGGCGTACAATCAAAATTTTGGTAAGTTTCAGAAATTTTTTTTAAAATAGTCTCCTCCTCTTCATAATTATCGTAATTAGATCCGAAATTTGGAATTATAATTCTGTCGCATTCATTTGTTACTAAATTTTCTTTGGGATGGCTATTTTGTATGTTTGAATTGTGTTCGACGAAATCAGTTCTTCCAGCTCCATTCATTTGTTCATTATTTTCCTTATTAACATTCGTTTCAATTTGTACTGAAGTGACATCTATTTTTTTTTCATTTGAAATTTTTTGGGAGTTATTCAATTGTTTTCTAATTTTTATATTTTCCATACGTAACTTTGCCAACTTTGTAATATAATTCCTTCGATCCAAATATAATTTTCTGGTTCTACGTTTGTAAAAATTTAACTCTGTTTTCATTCGTGTCAGTTGCGCCTCATACATTTCATTTGTTCGAGTCTTTCGGATATTTTTACGGAATTCATAGTAATTCAATTTTCCGTTTGCAAAGGCATCTTCCGCTGATATTATATGAGAATCATCGTCGTCATCATCCTCGCCATTTCCAGTTTGAGAATCCTCGAAATTTATGTTATGATTTGAAGAATTATCATTGTCTCCATTATTTTCTCTATCATCTTCTGAAGAATCCTCAATTTCAATTGTTTCACTTTCATTGAATCCTAAAAGGTAGAAAGAAGAAAATTCATAAAAAAAAATACAAAGCAATCTATCATAAAGAAAGCACTACACAAACATTTTTCTCTTACCTTTACGTGGACGATCTCCATCTGTATATCTACCCTCCACTTTAGATATCTGCATGTTCTGTGAAGTCCGCAAAGGTTGTTCAGTTTGTGATCTAGGTTTCTGAAAACCACCTCGTTGATCTTTTCTAAACAGTGTACCTTTGAGTTTAGCTCTAGCAGCTGCCTGAACTTTATGTTTTGTAATTCCTACAACAGATAAAAAACTTTTTTGGCACACTTCAACTAGCTGTCCATCACTTGTAGGAATTCTTGTAGCAATGGCCATTTCTCTTCTATGGTTACACGGGGTAACCACCATGTACCGAGCAAGAAATATTCTTTCTTCAACAATTCCCTGACAATTCCAATACATATTATGAAAATTAACTAGATCTTCTTGTGCTACGCTTATAACTTTACAAAATCTTGTCAAATTATGATTACAATCAATTTTCACCTCTTGCATACGTTGTCTTCTACGAATATTCCGTTCAAGCGTTCTTTGCCAATTTTCGGGTCCCATATAACTTGACGTTGGAAAATTCCTTTGAGCAGTAAGATTTGGAGGGTAATTTCTGGATTGCCAATTCGAGTGAGCAAGCTGATTGAGCCGATTTATTTGATTAGGAAAACTATATGGCTGGTTAAAATGAGGTGGTCTTTTCATTCTATTTGCCTGCCAGTGAAAATTTTCTAAAATTGCTCGAGCTTTTTCTCTAGCTGCCATTCTTTCTTCTACTGATTCATAAACAGATTGTTTCCGAAGAATGGGAGATGGCAAACCATCTGCCTCAGAATTATCACGTGCAGCTGAAGAATCCAAACTGGGCTTTTTCAAGGTGGATTGTGTTTGTGAAGCAGTTGCCTCCTTTTCATTATGCGATTTCTCTTTTATATCAATAGCAGGTTGAAATATATTTACCGACTCATTTTCCTCGTCATTATCTCCAGCTACGTAAGAAGATTCCCTTTTAAGATTTTTCACTTGAGGTTCGAAAATTGCGTTATCGTTTTCATTTGTTCCTTCATCATTTTCAAGTTTAGACCTTTGCGCAGGTTGAGCCTTTCTATTCGACTCAAAAGACTTGTTACTTTCGTTATTGTCTGAAATAATAAAAATTACACTTTTGTTAACGAAATTTTCATATGTATCTTTAGAATAACCACAACATTTATATAAACTACATACGTATTTTTTACATATATAGCAAATTGACAACATAAAAAAAAAAGTTTAAGTGTTTTTTTCTCTTTGTTTTTTATTTAGTAAGTTTGTTTTATTTAGTAAGTAAAAATTTTCGAGTGTAAGCTCAATATTAACTTTCATGCATAAATAAAATCAATTAAAAAAAAATAAATATTAACTTGAAACTACAACACACAATAATGTAAAATAAAATTATGCGAATCGATGTGTTTCTAAATTACTACTCAATAATTATACATAAAAAAGCGAGATATTTTGAAATGTGGAAAGACACAACATACCTTCGTTAGCAATAAAGTTTGATCGTTTTCTATTGATATTTGAAACTCCGTTCTCAGATATATAGCTTCCCATAGTACTATCATTTTCATTTATCAGATTTGAATAGTTTTGTGAATTTTCATTTGAATAATTCATTCCACTATCACTAATATTTTTATTTTTATCGTCATTTATAGAACATGGTTTCCAGCGATTACCACCTCTTTTTTCTTTATATAAATATTCACCATTTATAAGCTTTGCATGGCCAATTCCTAAAACTTTATGCTTACTAACTCCTAGAACCGATATAAATGATTTCTGGCATATCACATCCAAAGTACCATCATTTCTGGGGCAATAACATGTTATGTAAATATCTTTTTTACAATCATTATCAGTTGGATCGACTGCCAAATATGTAGCCATAAATATACGTTTATTTACAGTGCCAGGACAATTCCAATAACGATCGTGAAATTCTATTGAGAAATAATTTCATTCAATTAATATTATAATTTGGAATTGTCATATTGATTTTTAAGTATTTATTAAAAAAAGCATTAACATTTTTTTTTTCTTCCTAGCATTTTACATAAAAAACTTTAGAAAACTATGAGCTATGTTGTAGATGCGTTTACGTTTTTTGAGTTCAAGCAAAATCAAGAAATACGTGCGATAGGTATATGGGAGACTATAGTTGCTTTCAAGAAATTTTTTATTATGGGCTTTTATTATATGGTTACTAATATAGCTTCTATTTATTACTTTAAGCAAAATTAAATGGAGTCTTTCATTTTCTCGAGAATATACACTTGAGAAAATCATAATTTCTTTACGTTTAATAATTCCATATGCATGAAAGCAGAAGCGAAGACTAATGCCATACTTTTTTCATGTAGTAAAGCATTTATATAAGTAAATTAAGTAAATCAAAAAAAGTGAACCAAAAAATAATTTTAATAAATTTATTTACCTTCAAGTTCTTCGTATGATATATTTCTTATTTGACATTTATCATTGGCACGATAATGATCACATGCAACATTTACTTGGGACTCCCGTTGTTTCCTTTTAATGGCCCTTTCCATGTTAAGTTTACAGCGTTCTGGGTCTAAATTTATCCTCTTTTGGTAATAGTAATTCCTCCCCAACATACACTCAGATGTCATTTCATTGTTACCTTCCATATTTAACTACATATGTATATCCACTTTTGGTCACGAAATTATGTAAAATCCAAACTTTTTTCTTACAATGTCTTGATTTCAGCTTAAATTTTTTATATTATGCCAAATTTATGACATTTTCTTTACATATGCCTATATATGTTGCACATAAATATACGCATGTACATATATTTTAATTTGTACTATAAGTTGTCCTACGTATGTTTTATTTTATAGATTTTTCATGTTAATAATTATTTCACAAGTTTTATATAATATAAATATATGTTTTATTTTCTATTCAAAACCCACACAAATTTCTTTTACGAATTAAGCAGCACGATCTCGTGAAATATTATTTCCTTTAAATATTTCAGCTTTCTCAAAATAAAACCCTAACCCAGCATAATGCAATAACTAATAACAACAGCGTTCCCACTTGGATACAATTGTATCCATTTGGATACATTTTTGCTTTAAATTTGAGCTTGGATACAAAGATACTCAAATCTGCTAAAATGCCGAAATTGGCTACATTTTAAAATTTTGCTGAAATATGGATACATTTTTTTTCCAACACTAAATAAATATTACAAAACAGTTGAAATGCTGCTAATATTAAATCGTGAAGTTGCTTTATCTTCAATAAATGTTATTTGCTGACTATTCTAAGCATGTCTGTCTTCATGGTCAATCGTCTTTACCGCATAGTTCAACAACTACAGAAGGCATATATGCATATGTTTTTTCTGACCTTAACTTTCACATTTAAAATATAATAGAAGTTGTATGTGATTTCTTAAAGAATTTACTATAAATAACAAAACTCATATTGTGGAATAAAGCAAATTAATATTAATTATGGGTTAATTTGTACAAAATAAGACGACTTATTATAATAATGCCATTTTACGAGGTTGGATACATTTTGGATACATTTTTTTCTCGAAATTGGATACATTTTGTTTTTACCGAGTGGGAACACTGAATAACAATTTAATAATACATAGTTGCCATAAATTGTTTGTGAATTTGAGGCTTAAATTTAGCTCACCACAGTACATTATACAAATAAATATCAGCTCTAAAATTGACAACCAAAAATTTCTGGTAACACACATCATACACTTCAAAGCATGACAAAGGTTTCATTTAATGCAGTTGTTCAGATAAAAAAGTGCAGTTGTCAAATATTTAATCAATCAAAAAATGACACTGAGTGCAAATTTTTTATTTTAACTCTGTTGCTGTTCATTCATATGTCCGTTTACAAAAACTCTACACCAACTGAAATTTTATAAATAAATAGATCTTTATTAGAAACTTATTTCTGGAGAAGAAAATTTTTACTTTTATACCTCTCTATGTCTACATAATAATTATTTATTAGTACATAGTATAATATCAAATCTGTTTTAAAAATTGATAGAAATAACTATGTTAAATAATTAATATTAAGTTTTTATTTCAGTTATTATTTTAAAGGGAATAGACCTAACAAACATTCGCGTAATCGATACTGGAACTCTGTGGGAGTTGAATGATCATGAAGACTACCTTTGTTAAAATTCCTAGCAAAGGTAGCAAATTGTTCTAAAACTCCTAGTAAGGGTAGCAAATTGTTCTAACGCATTTTGATTTAATTTATTTGCTAACATGTTTTTCCAGGTAATCAAGCGGTTGGGAACAATTATAAATAATGTCTTTTTAGAATGAAAATTACAATTTATGACTTGAAATTTTTACCCTTTAAAAATTAAATAAAAATTAAAAACTGAGTGACGTACTTTATAAAAGCTTTAAATAATCGACCGCCGGGAATACCTTGCGTTACTATTTTTTATACCATGTGGCCTGATTGTAAGAAAGAACACGAAATATGTATAGTTTTTGAATTTTTTGACAACTGAAAATCTGCTCTGTTGAAGCGAAAGCGCCACGCCCCATTAGCCAATTATAACCTGGTCATGTTAAAAAAGACGCTGGTAGTGTTACCTCATATTTGTATTTATCGAGTCTCGAAAATTTTGACAATCGATATTTCCAGAAACAACAACAGTCAACATTTTAAGCACTTCATCCACTGTGCACTTCTAGATTACTTCAACCAAATAAAATTTTCAAACAATATAAAATAATTAAAATAAATATTATAAAATGGTTGATTACAGCAAATGGAAGGAAATAGAAGTAAGTTTACTTTTCTTAATCGGTTTTGATAAATATTTTTCGAATTTTCTGTTTATCTCGCTTAATATTCTAAACGATTAACCTCAGTAATACTCAGTAATATCCTTATACTTCATAATTCTGGATCTTTATAAAATCCTAAAAAACCCATTAAGTGAAAATATTAATTTGAATTTTTATTACAGATTTCCGATGACGAAGATGACACACACCCTAATATCGATACACCATCTCTATTTCGATGGAGACATCAAGCGCGTATGGAACGAATGGAGCAAGCGGAAAACGAAAAAAAAGCATTTGAAATTAAAAAAAAAATGCATGAAAGTAAAGTTTTAGAAGTCAAAGAAAAATTAAAAAAAGAAAAAACTGAACAACTTCAAAAAGAGTTGGAAGCTTTGGAGTTAGCTGGAAAGGCCATTGCTAAGGAAGAAGATGATATGAAAAAGAAAGAAAAAAAAACACCTTGGAATGTTGATACAATTAGTAAACCAGGTTTTCAAAAAACTGTTATTAACAAAAAACCTGAGAAAAAAGATGAAAGTCAAATGTCTGAAGAAGAACGGGAAAGAAATATGAAAACGTTTATTAAACAAAATGAGAAAATGGTGGAACGGTATGGAATGCTTAGAAAGTACGACGATTCAAAAAAATTCTTGTTAGAACATCACAATTTAGTATGTGACGACACAGCAAACTATTTAGTTATTTGGTGTATAAATTTAGAAATGGAAGAAAAACACGAGTTAATGGCCCATGTTGCGCATCAATGCATATGTATGCAATACATTTTAGAACTAGGTAAACAGCTTGATATTGATCCCAGAGCATGTGTAGGTTCATTTTTTGATAAAATTCAAAATTGCGTACCTGAGTATCGTGAGCAATTCGAAAAAGAAATCGAAGACTTTAAAAAACGTATACAAAATAGAGCTAAAGAGAAAATCGAAGAAGCTATCAAAGAACAAGAAGAAGAAGATAGGGAAGCTAGATTAGGCCCAGGTGGATTAGATCCTGTAGAAGTTTTGGAGAGTCTTCCAAAGGTAAGATTGTTTATTTTTGTAAATAAATAAACAGAAATATTACATATTAAATGTTCATCCTTAAATATTATTGTTAATTACTATTGGATTTTAGGAACTTCAAGCTTGTTTTGAAAGTCGTGATATAAAATTACTTCAAGAAACTATTGCCAAAATGCCAGAGCAAGAAGCTGTATACCACATGAAGCGTTGTGTTGATTCTGGACTATGGATTCCGGAAGGTGGATTAAAAGAAAATCAAGATAGCAATAAAAATGATAATGAAGATAAGGGAGAAGAGAAAGAAACAAATGATAAATGAATAAGGGATGCCATTTTTTTGTCTTAATAGGAGCTCATATTATTTTAATCGATTGAAACTGACTGTATTCCAAAAATAAAAAAAAACTTGCATAAGTATATTAAATTCCTGTATTTAAAATTATTAATAAATTTTTTATGCGTTTTTCAACCTGCATCAGAATATAAGAGTTAAAAAAAAACAATAAAGAACACAGTGTAAATAAATACTCGATTTTGCGGAATTATTTTCATATTTTTATTTTGATATTTTACAATTTTTAGCACGCAACAACCCTAATAATTGAAATATAATAGATGGTTATAAAACTGCAATTAAAAAGGCCAAGGTTAATGGTATGCAGTGTTGTACATATTTATATTTTATAAATTCATATCTAGGTCAATGTACTAAACTTACACAGATTCTATTTTTGTACCTTAGTCAAGCAGTAGAACAAACTAAGTCTCAATTCGATGTAAAAAATTTACCTTAACAATCTACAAAAAACGCTAATAAAAACTCTTCCCTCTCTTAAAATCGATGACTAAAAGTAAATTCTGCTTTTAATTGTGCCTAGGCTCAATACGTAATGTTGATATGTAAGTATTTTCATTCATATTGAAACGACTACATGTGGATAACAGGAACTTTACTTAAAATTCTGTTATATTGAAACAATAAATTAATTTTTACAAGGTATTTCACTTTATTTTGGCCGGAATACATAAAAATTTTATTGGTTTACAAATAATTCAGAATTTTGAAATTTGTTTGCATTTATTTAAAAATTTAACATCAAAATAATTGATTTTCCATTAAGAATTTTTATTCCATTGTACTTTAAAAATATTTCAAATATCAAGTTCAGTGTAGTCTATAATTTTCATGTGTATAACACGGTACATTATTTTCCATTTATAAAAAATATAAGGGAAATAAAAAAAAAATTCTATTAACTTTCTTTTTTCAATCTAAATTCAAAAAATATTAATAAAAATTGTGTAACTTGAGATTTTGTATATTGAAATACACTCAAATAACATGAGTAATTCAAAGATTAAAACAGTTTTTCTTGATGTTAAACCAGTCCCAGAGAAAAGGAGGAAGAGCAGAAGACTTTCAAAAAATGCAACATCATCGCAAAGAAACAGTATTTCATTATATGCAGAGAACCGTCCTTCATTAGCTTCTTTAAAGTCGTTCGCTAATTTTAAACATGTGTGTTCATACATACATACATAAGTTTTTTTGTATTATAATAAGAGTTGATCATTCTATTATAGGATATTATGTTTAATTCTATCAAACCAACTTACATGTTTGTTAAAGCTATTGGAGCATTGCCTATTCGTAAAAGAAGAAGTGAAGAAGCGGTATTTAGTACAACTTCTTTGGACTTTTTTTATTCTTTAGCTTTTTTCATAGGATTATTGGTAGTTACTAGATTTCCATTAACATTTTATATAAATTAAAAGTAATTAAATTATTTTTGAATATTAGATCTATATTGGATTTGTTGCTGTATTTCGAGTCTCATCAATTAAAAGCACAGAAGGCAGATTTGAAGAAGCTGTAATAGCCTATTTATTTATTATAAATATTTTTCCAGTTTTAATAATACCAATAATGTGGGCCGAAGCTGGAAAAATAGCTGGTAAAATTTTCTATTATATGTAAAATATTTAAATAAAATAATATTTAAAATATTTCAATTTCATCTTCTGCAATAAATGACCACGTTAAGTCTGTGAATTTTTTTTTCAGTTTTTGATTTAATTTTTTTGTATTCATAATCAATCCGTTTATTTGAAGGTTCTCTCCTTCTTCTAATGGACTTTGTGTCAAAAAAAATAAATATGTGAACAAATAGAAAGTGCGAAATTTTATTGAAATGGTGAATAATTTTTCTGGTATACGTTTGTCGTATATTGAACGAGTAATGTTAGACCTTTTCATGACCGTTATATATCGAGATATATATAGAAAAATTCGATATACTTGCCTTCATAAACAAATATTGCTAATTAAGTTTGAATAGACTAGATCGAATGCATAAGCAATGCTAAATTTTGACAATATAGTCAAATTAGTCGAAAATTTTGACTATTATAGAATAGTTAAAAATATATTGCTCGTTATGTTTTTGCAGTATTCCATATTGCAGCTTTTGTTTTGCAGTATTGCGTTTATGAAAATCTCAAGTGTAGATTTAGAGCATGGAAATCTCAAGTGTAGATTTAGAACATTGATATCTGCTTTAAGCAAAACAAGTTTTTTTTATGCTTGATCGGCTTTACGGTAATAAATGTACTCTTCCAATGGCAACAAGGTTTGGTTGTACTTTTACAACACTCCTATTTTTTATACTCGTACCTAATAAGAGAATAAAAACAGATCTTTAAAAACTTTTAGTATTACCACGAATTAACCGATAAAGGACATAAAACTGAAATATTTTCCTGATTTAGGAAAGATTTTCCTGATTTATATCTACATAGTTATACTGTTAAGAGCTAACAGTAGCGCTCCATTTCAATTTGATTTTGTTTTTGTTTAAAATACAAGCTTTATAAAAATATTTTCATTATAAATAATATACGCAATTATAATTGAATTTATTTTAGGTGTAATGAATGAATGGAGTGACTTTGAAATTCTTTATTTTCAAATAACAGGACGAATTATACCATTAGATATTCGTAAGAAATGTGTATTGATGACTATAATATTACCTTTATGTTCAGGTGTATCAGTTATTATAACGCATATTACAATGTCGGATTTTGATATTGTTCAGGTAGGTAATACGTACGCACTTTCAATTTTTTATTAATTTTATTAAAAATACTTTTATTATTTTATATAAAAATAATATTTATTTATTAATGAAAAGGTTGTACCCTACTGTATATTAGATAATTTAACTGTTATGTTAGGTGCGCTTTGGTATTTAAGTAAGTAATGAAAATTATTTATAATTTCTTGCCTATTCTAATTAAAAATATTTTTTAGTGTGTGAATCCTTAAGCAGAACCGCATATATTTTAGCCGAAAATTTTCAAAAGGTATAATCATTGTTGTTGTGTATTTAAGCCATTTTTTTTCAAAATCATTCATTGATCGCTACAGTAATTAATTATTGGCAAAAATAGAATTATAATAAATATTACACCATGAAAACTTATATATGTATATATTATATATATATGTATATATAAAATATTTACGTCAAAAAGAAGAAAATAAAAATACTCTTCTAATCCGGTATAAAATCAAATATATGTGTATGTATATGTGCATATTAAAATAATAAAATAGGCCTAATGTTTTATAACATTTCTTTTTTTTAATTCGAATTTGTTATATATATCACACTTCATACAAAACATGTACATTCATATTTAAAATTCAAATACATACATATATCATCAAATTTTTAAAATTAGAAATAGGTAAACAATAATTTAACTAAAGTTATTTTTAAATTTTTAATAAATGACCATATTGATTTACTTATAATAACTTTTCGATTTTATAAATAGCTATTACTCCCAAGCATACCTATTACCTAACAGATTCTAACATAGATAAAATTATACTACGAATATATGAATGATACTAGTCCTGTGACATAAGTATTGATTTGACGGCTTGAAAATTTTCTACAAATTTTCTAAGATGTGCCTAAGAGCTTATTAATGAAAATAAATTAAAAAATATGTTAATGAACTAGTATAATTAGACCACATAGTCCTATAATTCGACATACAATAGGTCTGTCTGGTATAAAACTTCAAAAAACTTTGAGAAAATGCTGATCCCATCATCTTTTCTCAAAAAAAATTTTATACTACACTCTTTAAAGTTTTTTTTAAGTTTTTATAACGTAGAATCTTTAACAATTTCCCAATAATTAAATGTTATCGTTTTTATTCGTTAATTGAATAGGTTCCTAACTACCTACACATATAACAAAAATAAAATTTAATATTTAATTCCAATGAAATTTAATATTTTTGTTTCAGTCTAAATTAATAAAAATATATATTTTTTTTTCAATTTCAAAGGCTCTTCGAAATATTGGCCCAGCAAGTATGGTGGCAGATTATCGTGCATTATGGTTACGTTTAAGTAAATTAACAAGAGATACTGGAACTGCATTTTGTTATACATGCACTTATTTAAATTTATATCTTTTTTTTATAATAACATTATCGATTTATGGATTAATGTCACAAATATCTGAAGGCTTCGGAATAAAAGATATTGGTTTAGCTGTAACAGCATTAAGTAATATTTGTTTATTATTTTTTGTATGCGATGAAGCACATTATGCTTCACATCATGTCAGAACAAATTTTCAAAAAAAACTTTTAATGGTTGAATTAAGTTGGATGAATTCAGATGCTCAAACTGAAATAAATATGTTTTTGAGAGCAACTGAAATGAATCCATCGAATATTAATTGTGGTGGATTTTTCGATGTTAACCGAAATTTATTTAAATCGGTAAAGAAACTTTTAAAATTTGTTTATTTTCTTTTTTTTTTCATTTTTATTTTTTTAGCTCTTAACAACAATGGTAACATATTTGGTAGTTTTATTACAATTCCAAATAAGTATTCCCGAACAAGCGGATCCTTTTAAAAGATTTAATATTTCAGCACTTGGAAATTACACATTAAATTAAAATAGCAATTTAATCATAATTATATGACAATGTTCACCTTACTATGTAACACATAATAATATGTAAAATATATAACAATAAAATATGAAAAAATTTTAAATATTACCATTATTATGATCGGCGAACCAAATGGCTAGACGAGTCGAATGGACTAGGCGAATCGAATGACATTTTAAATTATGATTGGCGAATGGCGAATGCTTCCATGCGCCAGTTCCAAAATGTATCGCAAGGCGTCAAAAAACCTATGAGAAAACAATGAAGTTGGCCGAAAATAATGAGGTTGGCACCATACATATGTACGTACATTGTTTTTGCTTTTTTGCAAAACCAATTGAATTTTCCTATCCCTTTAACAATGTCGGATTTGTCTCTCATTCTTTTTATTAATACTGGAATTTTTTTTGGTTTGTTTTTTTTTTCACGCTTAAATTAATATTAAACAATCAATACTTTTTACAATAATTTATAGAATTTTATGAACTTACTTTACAAATAGTTTAGATTTTTCCATTTTATCACTATAAATTCTATAATATCAAATACAAAAAAAAACACTTATGTATTATTTTGATTTTTGGTTTCATTCGCCAAGCTTGTTACACAGAATTTTCATTTAACAGCTCATTGGCCTAAAATTTAGGCGATTTCGCTAAAAATAATTCCAAAAATTAATATTCGCCAAAAATTTTCATTTGCTTCGCCGATCATAATAAGGGCCCATAAATGCATATACAAGATTTGCAAAATAATTAAAAATTTTTTATTTTAAAGTGTTTGACTTTTTAGAAACTTCCAGAATATTCAGTTTTTGTGTAGAATTTCGAATTTTGATGACAAGCCCCTATATACTTACAAAGTACTAATTCAATTGATGAAAATTTCCTTTTATAGGTAGAAAACGAAAATTAAATAAGACAACAAAATTTTATTTCTTTTTATTGTAAATATATTATATTTTACTTTCAATATATACTTAATTTTTTAAAATTTATTAACTTAATATTATTACGTTATATTTTTATTTCTGTTAAATATGAATTATGAACAAATATTTTTCAATTCTAAAATATCTAAAAATTTTCAAGTTTTTTTTTTTTTGTTTTTACGTTTTTAATTTACTTATTTATCAATAAAGATTTGCTTTTATATTCATCGTATTTGTCTTAAACTATAATAACAGGGACAATATTAAAAAAAAACTATTTTAAATGTTTATAATAGTTAAGAAAAAAATATAACATAAAACAATTATTTCCTTCAGAATAACATTTATTTCTTAAAAAATTATTAAATATAGAAAAACATTCAAACTACATTGAAAACAAACAAAAAAAAAAAAAGAAAATAAAAATTAAAATATTTAATTTTTCTTATAAAATTGAACTTTTAACGCCTTGGCCATTATCGTAAATTATATTTAATACCTTTATTTTTTTTTTTTTGTATATGTATTTCTAAAATTTTATGTATAATTCATTATTAATTAAATTAATTTTCAAACAAAAAAATATTTGTTTTATAACCATATTTCTTCGTCGTACTTTCTACAACAATCATTTTTAAAAAAATTATCAATATTATTATTACAATTTATATTATAACTATTATTATTTATTTGAATATAACTATTATTTTGATAATTATTATTATTGATTTGGCTGTTGACTTGGTTTCTTGTTTCTGTCTTTACGGGTAAAAATTCTAAACATTCCACTTCTTCTGTCCCGATTTCCTCCTCCTTTAACACCGGATATCGATGAAATTGATTGTGCTTCAGATTCGCTAGAACTTTCAGCTGACACTCTTGACATCGAAGTACCATCATGTTGCAACGAAATTGGTCGACCAGGATCATGACGTGTTGGTCCCCATCCTTGTAAAAAAAAAAAATTGGAAAAAAAAATGCATAAGATTAATTACGGAGATAATATTTGAATTTTTAATTACTAAAATTAAATTTCTAATAATTAAAATAATATCCTTTACAGCCACATAATTTACTAAAATATGAAATATAAATTGACCAACATATTTTATTTAATATTTTACATTAAATATAAATTTAAATAATTTTTGTTTTTATAAAAATTTTGTAAGATCAAAAAATTTAATAATATATGTATTTAAAAAAGCAAGGAGTTAACAAAAAAACAATATTAGTAATCTTAAATATTAAAAAATTTAATTTCTATTAATACTGCAATTAGTAACTTGGAATAATTTGGAATAATATCAAATAATGCGAAATAAACACTTATAATAATTGCTATATTAAGTCAATTATTTAAAAAGAAACAAATTTATAAAAAGACAATTCTTGTAAGGCTTAAATGTTTTCCTTTAATTATTTTATTTACATACTGTAGACTGTTAGTTTTTTATTTGATTAATAATTACAATAATATTTTCACATATGTATCTATACCAATATAACGATAAATAATTATATAATTAACAAATATTTTATGGTGAAAATTTTTTGTATCCTAAATTTTCATTCTTTAAATAGTAAGTCTTTTAAAACATAATTTTTTTAAAAATTACATCTTCCTAATTATTGGTTATTTAGTGTACAAGTGGCATTATCATGCTTATAATAAAAATGTATTACATGCAAAAAAATAAAATGAAAGAAGAAAATAGGAATACATGCTTCACATATAAATATTATTATAAAATATCCAAATATTTTTCTAATTTGTTTGCGATTATTAAATAAATAATAAAGTAAACACAGATTTCCATTGACCATTTATTCACAACTACTATAAAGTTATTAAAAATAAACTAATACTTTTTTGTAATATTATCGAGTTTCAAGTTTCACTACTAAAAGTCCCACTCACTAATAAATTATAAAAAAAAAAAAAATAATCATATAATTTTTAAAACAGTAATTTTAGAATTCTAACCAGTTAAGTCATTGTTATTATTATTATTAATCGTATTTGTTATCGTAGAATTTGATGTTCCGCCATAGCTTGGGTTATTAACCATGCTATACTCTGTAAAATGTTGATGCCAAGTAGTTCGACTTCCACTTGTTTGATTATTTGATCCATTATTATTATTATTATTACCATTATTATTGTTGTTGTTATTCACCGAAGTTTGTATAGACTGTTGTTGTCTTATGTGAAGAGCTGGTCCTCCACCACTATTTTGAGAATAGTGTTGATTTTTATGTTGCTGTTGTTGTTTTTGATTGCCGTAAATCGGGTATTGATGATAATCATGCATTGGACCTGTTGTACCAAAACTATTTAATCTATGCATGCCATGATTGGCGTTACCACTTCCCGATACAGGTGGATTTGTAACAGGTAACGGTGGAGGATTTTCTATTATATTTTTATTTTATATTAATTTAAGATATTTTTTTATTAAACATAAATTTAAAAATGCTCTGCAGTTTTATTCACAATAAATTGTGAGAAAAAAATTTATACATGTATGTACATAATAATATTCATAAAACCTTTATTTTCCTGTTTTTTAAATGGGAATTTTTTCTACAATCTAACAACATCTAAAATTTTCAAAATATTTGGCCGTAAGTGGTACAATAAATATGTATGAAATATTTGATGATTTTCATAATTATAAAATTTTGAATTCGATTAATTCTACTTATTAATGTTCTAGCATTGATAATAACACATAATTAAATGAATTGTTCCGAATAATGTTTTTGATAAAAATAAGTATTGAAAAATATTAAAGAATAGCTAGCACGACTTCATATCAAGATCTTTCAGAAAAGAAATTAAATTCCAGAAGTTCTTTAAATGGCAATTTAAGTTAATTTTTTTAAATGGCATGTTAGGATAATTTTTTGGTCATTAATATTATCTGAAGTTTACTTTTCATTTTATCATTTATGCTAGAAAATTTTTTCGAAAATCTTTAAATTTGATTAATTTGTCAATTATAGGTCTATTCAGTAAATATACCTGATTTACTATCACTATGGCGTTTCCATATTTCTTCATTAGAACCATTTTGAATACCAGTTAAACCCGAAGGTAATGTCGCCGATTGCTGTGGATAATAATTTTTTGCCGACTGCGGATTTTGATAGTTGCTATTTGAATCTGTCAAATCTAGGGGAAGCAATATATGAAATCTCTAAATTTTTTAGAAAAACTAAATTAATTTTATACCACTTCCACTACTACTTTGACTTCTAAGAGTGACGATATTTTCAGTACTCTGGCGTTGCATAAGTGGAGGCATATATCCACGAGGAGGTATTGGAGGTTTATCAGAATAAGCATTTGAAGCATTTGGTGAGGATGGTTGTTGTTGATGTTGACCAGAACTAGGGGGTAAATTCTTAAAAAAAAAATAGTTCATTAAAAATTATTACCATAAAGCAAATTACAAAAAAAAAACTTACATTATTTTGTTGCATGAGTTGCTGTTGTTTTTGCAAAAAATTCATTTGCGGCGTATTCATACTACCGCCCGACATGCCACTGCCAATTGAATCATTTCTAGAGCTACGTCTTTGTGAATCTGGTGAAGATGTGTGCGAACTAACTGGTGATGAAGTTTCAAGATGATCTTGGATGGGAGATTTTATATCAGGGAAACTAGTTGCTTGCTACAAAAGTATATGAAAATAAATGATTTAAAGCTAAAAAAAAGACAAGCTACAAAATGTGGACAATTTTTTTGAATGAAATTTTAACTGATAAATAATTAGCAATGACAAATCGAATTCAAAATTTTCTTTTATTTTGTTTAAAAATATCTAGTGCTTAAAATTTCTAGTATTTTTCAATAATGACTTTAATATATGTAGGTATGTACTTACTTTAACTGATTCATCGTAACTTAAAAGTTGTAAATTAGGCGGAAGACTAGCATGAAAAGATATTTTCTTAACCCATTCATTCATCAAACTATCAGTAGGGGCTTCAAACAAAAATTCAGCTCCATCTGGCAATTTTAATCGAAACACATGCTTCTTTTTTGTATAATCTTCAGCTCTTTCACATTTAGCATTTAAAATATTAACAGGAGCCGTCGCAGTTTTTTGTTGAATGAAATCATTTTCATCTTTAAAGAAGCATAAAAGTTGGCCGCAAAGAACAGTGTGAAACGTTTTCCAAGATCTGACTGGTGCTTTTTTACCACCCGATTGGAGTTCATGTTTCCGATCTAAAACACCCTGAATTTCAACTGGTGGTAAATCGAAACTTTCTGAATTTCCACCACGTTGATTTTTACGGAAACTTTGCGCTCTACGCCGTGTGGTAAATGATGGAGTCCGTTTCGGTTGTTTTGGAGCTGTTTTCATACTCTCAGCACGTTTAACACTAGCATCTCCTGAACTACGTCTAGTATTTGTAAGTGAAGAAAATACTCCACTGGCACTAGCACTTTGTTGGAGGGGTGATCCAGTATTAGATCCAATCGAAACAGATGTGACAGTTACCATTGGAGTGGAAAAAATCGGGGTTTTTTCTACTCCATTTATTTTCTGCTCATGAAGTTTCTCGGTACGACGTCTTTCTTCATTAAGCCGTAAAAGCTCCCTCTGTTTCAAAGATTCTAATCTTTCTTTCTCTAAACGTTCTTTTTCCAAACGTTTAGCGATTTTTTCTTCTTCCAATTGTTTTCGGAATCTTTGTTCTAACAACGTTATACGCTTTATAGCCTGGAATTTGTCATCTTGCGCTGAAATAGTTTTTTCGAAATCTTGATGACGACGAATCAGGTCTTCAACCTGCTGTATAGATTCTCCTAGTTTTGTTTCCTTCAGAAGAGCTTCTCTGCTTGAAATCCAATTTTCTAAAATTTCAGCATCTTTTAAGAAAATTCTAGTATCCAAATTAAGTTCATAAATTTCTTTCCGTTGTTGTAATGTACGTATCAGAAGCTCCTGTCGTTGATCTAAAATTCTAATTTTATCTTCAATTTCATGAGCTAAGAAATGTTTTTCAGAAATTAATTTTTGCCCATTAGCAGTAAATCGATCAAAAGCTTCATCTCTAGAGCCGATTTCTGCGGTGTGCTCTTTAACACTAGCTAATAAGGCTTCAGCCCCAGCAACAGTTCTCGCCAAATCCGGTGCTGTAATTTTTGCCAACATTTCGTTAATCCAAGCTATTAACTCTCTATATTCATCGAAATATGACTGCAATTGCTCGGTCTGATGAAGCTTGTTTTTACGTAATTCTACTTTCTCAGAAAGATCCTGCCAAGCTTCTACGGTTTCTTCTTTTTTTACTTCAATATGTTCCTTAGCATCAGGATATTGTTCCCCTAACTTCTTCGCTTCTTCTAGTACAGTTTCCACCTGCTTTTTAATTGCTGTGATTTCACTTTCAAATACTGAATGTTTCCTAATTAAAGCTTGTATAGTATCTAAGTCTTGACCATAATCTTGAGACATCAAAGTTGTTTCCTTTTCACTGATTAAAGATATTGTTTCATCAGCTGCTTTATCATATACATGAACCTGTTTTGCTCCAGCTAAAGCTTCTTGCCGAGCATTGACTAGATCTTTAAGCTCTTCCCATAGTTGCTTAGTTTCATCTTTTTTAGTTTTAATAGTTGCCCTATAAGGATTATTTTCTTTTATCAAAGCTTCTCCTTTAGTCAAACAATTTTGTACTCTTTCTTCATTTGCCGACAAATTTGAGACAAAAGACTCAAATGCTAAAATAAGTTGCTCGACGTGTTCTACATCTTCACCATAATCTTCTGAAGCCGTTATGGCCATTTGATCATTTATCCATTCATGTAAATCTTCCGTTTCTCTTAAATATTCATAAAATTTCTTACTTTCAACAAGACGATGCTCTCTTTCACTACTGAATTTAAGCAATTCTTCATAATTACTAGAAACATTTTTATTTTTTTTTTCAATGTTTTCACTATCAAAATGATTTCGTTCTATTAAGCTATTAGCTAATTTATCCACTTTATCAATTGAAGCTTTAAAGGAAATCAGTTCGCGTTGCAATACTTCTAGTTTTCTTTGATACGATATTACAGAAGTTTCATCTTTTCCATAATCTAGCGAAGCCAACATAGGTCTCTTTTCTTTCATCCATGTCTCAGCTTCATTTGCTTCAGCATAAAACATTTGACTTTCAACAGCGTCTAATAAACGGATTCTTCGAATACCACTTAAATCTCTTAAATTTCTTAAGTTTTGTTGTAAACCGTCACATTGTGCTTTGACCTGAAAAATTTTAATAATTTATTCAACTATGATTAGAACAAACTCAACAATGATAAAATGCAATGTTTACCTGATCACTAGCAAAATGGTTTTCTTGTATCATTTGTTGACCTCTTTGAAGCAAAGATATTATTAATGGTTCTTGTGAAACCATTTCAGCTTCCAAGGCTTGGTGCTTTTTCTGAAGTGTTTGAACTGCCATTACACTTGAACCCAAATCTGTTGAGCTAGCAATCACTTGTTTATCTTTAAGCCATTGTAATTCTTCATCTGAATCTCGTAAAAATTGCTGAAGAAGTAATGAATCTTCAAGATTTTCACGTCTAATGGCTAGCGGCTCATGCAGTGTATTATATCGCTTGATTAAAGTCATTGCACGCTCGTGGATTTCATCTTTCAAGAAATGATTCGCTTGGAAGAATTTTTCATCACTTTGCTTTATTTGATCACATAATTCATTATGATGTTGTACATCGGACTCCAGTCTTTCATGTTTTTTTAGCAAATGATTGACTGCAGCCAAGTCTTTACCATAGTCTTCACTAGATAAATGTGATTCAACTTCATCCATCCAGTTATTAAATTCATCTAAACTACGATTGAATTTCAATGCTTCATAGGCTTGTTGTAGTTTGTCACGTTTTTCCTTTGAAGCAATTTGTAGTTTCGTCCAGTCCGTTTCTAAAGCTTCCAAATTTTCAGTTATCTCAGTTTTCGCATAATGATCTGCTTTTATCAATGCTTCACCTTCGCATATTACATCGTTTACCCGGGGTGAATTAGTTATTAATTCTGCATCGAAAGCTGAATGTTTTTGCAGCTTGCTCTGAAGATTTGTGGGGTCTCGATAATTTTCGTCTACTGCAGTTTGCATTTTTTGTACGATCCATCTCTCTATTTCATATAAACTGCGCAGGAATTGTTGATGTTGCTTTGATTGATTTAATTTTTGCTTTCTTTCTGCCGATAATTCTAAAAGTTTTCTCTTCCGTTCCAAAATGGATTTTAGACGCATTCTAATTTGCATTGCATCTACTGGGTCACTTTCAAGAATGGAAACAGCAAATTTTTCCAGCTGCTCAACATTATCTGAATCTAATAATTTTTCAAACGCTTCGTGTTTCTTTATTAACCGTTCAACAGCATTATATGAATCTCCCAAATCGTCATTATTGAGAAAGGCTTCTTTATTACCTAGCCAAGTCTCCACTTGTTCAGCTTGCGATTTGAAAAGCTGAAGCTGATGAGCATCTTTAAGTTGTTTTGCCCTATCATTCCAAGCTTCATGAACAGTATTATGCAAAGCCTCAAGAATTTGTAAGTAATGGACAACTTCATCAGTTTGTTTTGTAAGATCTAAAATTAAATTATTAAATTTTATATTTTTTGAATAATTAAACCAATATACCATTTGTAGACTCATTTGCAGCAACTAGGCTTTCACCATAGCTTTTCAAGTCACCGAAAGCTTTTTCTCTGCCATCAATTTCAGCTTTTCGTTCCTGGTGTAACTCCAACTGTGATTCACATTCAGAAATCGTTGCAGGATTTGGGGCAGAATTCATTTTCTTTATGATATCATTTACCCATAGTTCCATTTCCTTAACATTAGATACAAATTTATGAACTTTATATGCATCGTTGAGAATTTCTCTTCGCTTTACGCTTAGGTTCTGTAAGTTACTCCAAGATTTCTTAACTTCATCCATTTTTCTTTCAATATCAGCTTGCCTGGGAGAATATCTCTTTTTCAATATGATGGCTTCTTGTTCATGCTCGTTTATTTTGTTTTTCACAGCAGTCATATCCCGCTCAAGTGCATCTTCTCGTCTTATTAAAGTTTCAACGGCAGTAAGATCTCGACCAGTATCATTAGACGCCATTGAGACCGCCTTTTCGTTTATGCGTTCCGAAGTATCATCTACATCTCTATTAAAAACATGTATTTCGTAGGCTCCAGCTAAAAGAGCTCGATAAGCATTTAAGGCTACTTGTAACTCCTTCCATTTATTGTTAAAGTCATGACGCCGTTTATCAACGCTTTTGGTTTCGTTGGGAACCTGTCCTTGAGTGATCAGTTTATCAGCTAATACATTTATTTGCTTCAGACGTTGATCATCTACCCTCATATCAGAGTCTACATCGTCTAATTTACGTCTCAAAGCATTACAATGCTCTAAATCTTTGCCAGAATCGTTCGCTTGAATCATCATTTCTTTATCGCGAATCCAAGCTTCTATCTTGTCGAGTAAGCTATTAAATTCTAATATATCTTGGGCTTCTTCAAGCCCTCTTCCACGTTGGTTTAGTTCATGAATTAGAGATTTCCATGCGCTCACAACTTTTTCAATAGCTTGTTTTATTTCAGGAGCTGACTCGTGTTTTTTGTTAATTAAAATCAGACCTGTATCTTGAATTTCTTTTATACGACCTTGATTTGCAGACACCTCTGCTTGAAAAGCTTGTTGTTTTTGTAATTTTTTTATCTTTTCTTCTAGGTTGGCGCCTTCAGAATAATTTGCAGCGTCAGCTTCCATTTTTTTTCTTTTCTCCGAAATCCATGATTCAGCATCAGCACAATCACGAAGAAACTGTGCATATAAAAGTGCGTCTTCGAGCTTTCTCTTGCGAATATCACACAATTCTTTCACTTTTTGCCTTCTTACTAAAACTTCATTGAGACGTTTCTGAATATTCGGGCTGTCATAGTGATGTTGTTCTATCAATTTTCTTCCATGCTCTTGCAAGAGAGCGACCTTTTCATCTTGAGTTTGAATAACACGTTCAAACTCATCATGTTTTTTGATTTGATTTTGCACATCTTCAACAGTTTGACCAAAGTCTGAGCTAGATAATGCCGCCTGTTGTGTACTTGACAAGTTATCAATTTGCTTGGCATCCCGCAAAAAGCAAAACAAGTCAATTTTTTGTTCCAATAAAATTTTCTTTCTTTGCCAAGCCGCATGTAGTTTTTGTCGTTCTTCCAGCATTGCATTACATTTGTCTTCTACTTCGGCAGCTGCATAATGGCCTGTCTGCACCATTGAATCACTTAGTTCATTTAAATAACGGAATTTTTCTTCTCTTGCCTCGATTTCGCCATAAATAGCATCATGTTGAATTTTTAGAGCTGTTGCTCCAGGTGCATCACTTACATGCTCTTCAGCTTGGAGGGCAGCCCTTAAGTTAGAAGACCACGACATAATATCTCTAACTTCGGTAAGGAATGTTTGTAAATCGTAGCTTGCAGCTAAGCGATCTGCTCTTGCGGTGGATCTTTCTTTCAGATCGTTCCAAGCCGTAACAACTTTTTCTTGCTGTTGTGCAATAGCACTACCATTTGAAGGATATTTTGCCTGAAGGCGAACAGAATCCTCAACCAAAACTTGAAGTTGGGCTTCTAGAGCAACCAAATCATTTTCAAATCCTTCATGTTTTCTATATAATGCTAATGCAGAATTTAGATCTTTCCCCAATTCGGAGGAGAGGGCCGCGTTCTTATCTTGAATTCGGAATAAAGCTTCAGCTACATCTCTATGGAATCTATGTATTTCACCTGCAGCGTGAAGTTTTTGTTCGCGTTGATTGAGAAACTTAAGTAGATTTTCCCACGCGTTTCTAAATTAATTTTAAAAATAAGTAGGGTATATATATATACATACTTTAACAAGTTAAGTTAATACCTAAGCTGATCCTGTCTTTTCTCTACTTGATTTATATAAGGACTATCTGTTTCACTCAATTTCTTAGCTAATATTTCACACTGATCGACACGATCTGCACCTACCTCCACACTGTGTTTTAAATCATCAAATTTATTTTGAAGAAGCTGAAAATAAATATATTGATAAAATTTTCCATTTTACAACGTAATAACACAAAATTTACTTGCAAATGTTCATAATCCTGTCCATAATCTTCTGAAGATGCTGTTTGTTCTTGTTCTTTGATCCATTGCTCGACTTCATCAGATTCAATGAAATATTCATGCATGTATAAGCTCTGCATTAGGTTCATTTGTCTTTGATTAGCTAATTTTTGTAACGATTTTAACATCTTTTCAATTAGCTGTTGTTTAGCAGCTAATACCTTACTATCTGGAAAAGATGCAGATACCATGGACGCGCAATTATGTCCCATTTCGGAAACAATGCCAGAATATGTATCTAACTCTAGCTCAATAGCTTTATGTTTTGTTAATAATTTTGTAGCAGAATCGCGATCACGGCCATAATCTGTCGAACGCAAAACATTATTACGCTCTCCGAGCCAGGTTTCTATTTCGCCTGCTTCTGACATATATTGTTGAGATTTAAGCGACATCTCAAGTTTTTTACCTCTGTCAATAGCACTTTCATTTAGTTCATCCCAGCTGTCTTGTAATTTTTTGCACAAAAGCTCAACATTTTTCTTTTCGGGATGTTTTTGATCTATTAGTGCCTGACCGCTTTGCAGAGCGCGATTTATCATAGGCTGATGACCTTTAATTTCCGCCTCTAATTTTTTATGTTTTTTAAATAAACTTTGAGCTTGATGAAGATTTTGCCCAATCTCTTTCGAAGTAGCTGCCGGAGTATGATCGTTAATCCATTGTAACTCTGCATCTAACTCGAAGACGAATTTGTGATAATTCAGGGACTCTTCAAGTTCAGCACGACGCTTTTCTAAAGGACCACGTAGAAGCTTGAAACGATTTTGGATTTCTTTCGTCTCATCTTTTATGTTTTTGGCATTGAAATGACCTTCATGAGCCATTTCTTCTCCAGAAGAGACCAGTTCTTCTATTTTTGCTTGCCATAGTGCAATTTCAGATTCAAGAACATGATGCTTGTTTATAAGATCTTTGCAACTACGAAGATCACTCCCTACATCTTTACTTCTGAGAGCAATAGTTAACTCTTCCGCTTTCTTTTTAGCATCGTCAATTGAACGATTATGTTCACGTTGTAAAACTGCCTGCTCTAATTTACGTCCTAAAAATGTTTTTGTTTTATGTATATTGTGTGTGTTTTAAAAGTGTTTTATATATTCTACCTTTGTCTTCCGATATTAGAAGAAGATCTTTCCATTTCTTATTCAAATCTTTGGTGACTTTTTCAACTTCTGGAACTCGATTTTTAGCCAATATTAATGCTTCTGCATCCTTATTAATATTTCTTAGTTGACCTTCGTTAGCTCTAAGTTCTCTTTCAAATGCCTTATGTTTCTGCAATTTTCTTGGCAAATTTGTAAGATCCCTATAGCTTTCATCACTAGCAATTCGAATTTTATCATTAAGCCAAGCATCTAAATCTTCAGCCTCAGCCATAAACTTTTGAAAATCTTTTGAAGCTTGAAGGGACCTTTTTCTGTCAAAAGCACGATCTTTCACATTTGTTCGCTTTCCCAATACCTGTCCACGTCTTTCACCAATGCTACAAGTTAATTTTTTCCACAAATATTATAAAATCAACTTTCAATTACAAATGAAACTTACTATGGCGAATCATAATGGTTATTTACGATTAATTTGTCAGCATGATCAGAAAATCCTTTCAAAATTTTATCTTGCGCCATAAGACTGTTTTCAAAATCAATATGTCTTTTAAATATAGCCTCAACTTCATCTAAGGAATTCTAAACAAGTACAATAGTTAAAGGTTAAATAAGCATATACAACTATAATTGTTATTTGTCTTTACCCCTAAAGTATCATATTCCAAAAACGATTCGTGCCCTTTAGTTGTCGCATCTATTTTATCAGCTTCCCTGTTAAAAATTTGCAACTCGACGCATTGTTGAAGCCATTTTTGTTTTTCTATCCAACCACGATTTATGGCTTCCTTTTCGGCTTTCAGACGATCCATAACTTTTTGAACATCAGCTAAGTTAGAGTTTCCATCACTTAATTGTTCTCCTAAATTAATGATTTCTACAAAATCATTATCATGTGCTTTTATGTCATCACCAAGTTCATTATGGTTTTTCAATAATTTAGTAGCTGTTTCTACATCTCTGGCTGAATCATCAGCATTTAGTTGATCTTTTACAGAGTCTATCCAAGCAAGTAGAGTTTTAGAACTATTATTAAATATTTGTTGACCTACAGCATTTTCTATTCTTATTTTAAGTTCTGTAGCTTTTCCATGAATTTGTTTCCACATTTCCTGTACTTCCTGTTGTCGTGCTGTAACATTGGCTCTTTCTGAAGGATATGCATTTTTTACTCTAAAAATATAAGTTATTTTATTCAAAAAGTTATTTGCTTTTAATTTAGTATTATTATTATTTTTTGTTTTACTTCTTCTAAGCTATACTTACGAATTTCCTAAAAATTGAACTCTATTCACTTTTTCTTCAACCGGAGCAAGTTCTCTTTCTAAATTCTGATGTCTTCTTTGTAAAGCTTGAACTGTTTTTAAGTCAGGACTTATTACTGCTGTGTCTAATTGTAGCATTTTTTCGCTCATCCATACTTTAGCTTCATCACAAGTTCTATTGAACAACTCAACACTTGATGCTCCTTCTAAGCTTTTTTCTTTTTGAGCTTTAGCTGCATTTAACCGCTGCCATATTTGATGGATTTGTTTTTGTCTCGCTTTGATTTTATCCATTTGAGAATGCCCCTGACGTGTAAATTTATCTACGGCTTTATCAATTTCTTCAATACGTTTCGATGCGGCTGACAGATCGGTAAGGAATTTTTCAAATTTTTTTCTCGCATTGTCAACTTTATCAGCATCATCAGCTTTTATGAATTTTTCCTTTTCCTTCATCCACTTTTCAAAATCATCGCATTCTCTATAAAAGGCAAAAAGACGAATAGAATCTTCAAGGAGAGCGTGGCGCTTTTGGGCCATATCCTGAAGCTGGTCATACGTTTGATTAATTCGTTTCTGTCTTTTTTCTACGCTATCAGCATTCTCATTTATACCACTTGTTGAAGTTTGTCGTTTGACTAATGGTTTGATTTGAGCAATGCTGGCCGGTTTTATACGTTTAACAGGAACTGTTTGGCGGACTAGTATGGTTTTCTTAACTTTTTGAATAACTTTAACTTTTTCAGCTTTTGGCACAATGCAAGGTACTTGCCTTGCTTCAATTTCTCGAACATAATTAGCCGGTACAAATCCTTCAACACCGGTTTCCTTTCGAACACACCACCAATCTGCATTCGTTTTATTTTTCAAAACCATAACTTCTCCTTTTTCCATTTTCATCCCCTGTCCGTCAAAAGAATACATTGCTTTGACATGAGGTAACAGCTTCAGTTCTGTAACCTTTCTGTGTTCCAATCTCTCGACAGCTTCTTCTTCCCAAACTTCCTTCGGTACCAAACGCGTTTCGTTCACCCATTCCTCTTGTTCCATTTCAGGTACAGGTTCAGGTTCTGCTGATAATTCAAGTGTACATATTCCGGCTTTTATTAATTTCTCAGCTTGTTGATTCAAATTCAAAATATCTCCAGAATATGCGTTTAGCTCCCCTTGCAAATCACGATGTCTTTGTAATAAAGCTTGAGCTGAAGGTTCATCAGATCCATAATCGTTGGAATTTACTAACGCCATTTTTTCATTTAACCAGGATTCGGCTTCATTAGCGTCAGTATAAAATTGATATGCTTCAGCTGCATCATCTAATTGACGTTTCCGTAATTCAACCAAATCTTCCAAGGCTTTCCAATGTTCGGCTAAAGAATCTATCCTAGACTTAACTTCTGGCGATCTGGGGTGCTTATCATTAATTAATTTTTTACCAGTGTCAGCCATCTGAAGAGATTTAGGTTTACGTACTTTGATTTCATCTTCTAATGCTTTATGTTTTTGTTGTAGAGACAACACTGCGCGTAAATCTTTTGCTGTTATTCCAGTTTTACATATTCGTTGCTTATCAACCAACCATCCTTCTTCGTTGTCGTAATCTTCCAAAAATTGATAAAAATGTCTTGCTTCTTCTAATCGGGCCCTTCTTTTTGCGCATAGTGCCTGCAAACTTTAAATAAAAAAAAAAAAAATTGGTGAAAAAAATTTTGGATTTAAAAAGTAAAGCGAAAAGGAATTCCAAAACTTACATTTCATAAGCCTTATGTAATTCGTCTAAACGTTGCATCAATAACGGAACATCTTTTTGATCTGAATCTTTGTAAGCCTGTGCTTGCCTGTCGTATAATTTAATACTTTTACCTAATGCATTGACATGTAATTCAAGCAATGAATGTTCCTGTAAAAGACCTTCAACACCTAATAAATGTGGGCCAACATCTTCAGAAGAAAATTGTGTTTGCATTTCCCTAATAGATTCCAACGTGGTTGCAATTTCTCTAAGTAAATTCATTAAATTACTCATTAAAGACAAATTTTTTTTATGATTTTCCAAAAGCTCCAATAATTTACGCCATTTTTCCATTACTTCCTCTTCTCGTTTTTTAACACGTTCCTTATCATGATAATTTTCTTTTTCTAATTCATTAGCCATCGCCGTTAAATCATTAAATCGTTCAACACGCGCTAAAATATCAGCTGAAATAGCTTCATGCTTTTTAAGAGTTGCATCAACTTGTCTTAAATATCTTGGATCAGATAAAACCTGTATCATTTCTTTTAAGTAACCCTCACGAAGAACAGATTTTTTTTCAAATTTATAATTTAATTGTTCTAATTTTTCTTGCCTTAACAATTCTTCTCTTAATGCCACTTCTCGACTATGTTCAGCGTATTCTAAAAGTTGCCAAGCTTTTTCTATATCATTTACTAACTGTCCATCTTGTGGGGTATATTGTGGTTGATTAAGTGACTTTAATAATGTGTTTATAGTAAAATATAAAGCTTCGATTTCACTTCGTTCCTTATATCTAAAATTAAAAATACATTTATTACAAAGTATTGAAAATTATTTTAGAATAGAAAAAATTTACTTGGGCGGTTTTTCATTTGTACGGTATTTTGTAAAAGCTAACAATTCTTTTTGGATTCCCTCCAACGAATTTGGAAAATCTCGTTTTTTTAATTCCATCGTTTTTGTTCTTATCCAACTCAATAGACTCGTCGTTAATCTCTCATATTGAGCTTTCTTTTTATCAGCATCCATTAATTGCCCAACAATCTATTTAAAAAATATAAAATGTATACATTTTCAAAAAAATAATTGAACTTTTTTTGTTAAGGAAATTTTTACATTGGCTATACGTTTCCCACTTTTTTGTTCATTTTTCATGCGGGCAAATGTGTGATAATATGAAGCAACATAAGTTAAAATTGATTTTTCATCCGGTCTAACTGTGTCTACATCTTCAGCATCTAATAATCTTTATAAAAAAAAAAGCAATAATTAGATACATACATATATTTAAAAATCTACAACAACAAAGATGCATTTTAAAAAAAACATTTACCTTGGTATACCTAAATCGCTATTTGCTGTATCAAATGCATGATTTAAATTATCTATATTTTTTTGATGTAATAGACTATTGTATTCAAACAAATCTGGTCGATGTGAATGTATTAATGCATTAAATCCTAAACCAGAACGCCATGATGATGTAAAATCTTGTATATTAACACCAGGATAACCATGTGTTTTACGTTGACACCAAAGTAATAATGCATCTTTAGCAGAACGTTTTTCTGATGATTCATTTTCCTCATCCACATCGATTTCAATTTCTTGAATTTGAAATCGTAAAATAATTGTCCATATTAGACCTAAGATTAATCTTTTATTGCCGTCTACAATATCTTCAGCACCAATTGATTCTAATCGAACCTATATATATGTACATATTCATATGTATATAAATGAAATTGCAATAAAATCGGTTAGTGAATTAGGATAATTATATATGTAAGTATGTATAAAACAATATTATAAATTCAGTCAACTGAGTAATTATTGTAATTTTAAAATTATAATATTTTAATTATAATAAGGAATGAGTTCAGAAATTATTTAAAACTAAATTATTATAAAGAAATATTAAAAAGTACTTTTTTAGTTTTCAAATTTGTTTTTCTATGAAATCTATAAAAAGTACGAATACTATTTTTAAATTTACGTACGTGTTTTAAAGTACGTATTTTTAAATTTTAATTCTATGTGACGTTCTTTCAAAGCAAAATGATCTATTACCCGATCATAAAAATTATTTGTTTGTTTTAAATTTTGAAGCAATTGCTTTTCTATGAAAATTAAAGCTAAATTTGAAAGACTCGATTCGGAGGTGTTGTTCCTTAAAAAAGTTTTTATTCGTTTTAAACACGAAGGTGATTTTTCTTCTGATGCTTTTGAAATCGGAAGAGTTAACGTTAACTTTAATAATTTAAAAAATTCAGAAAATGACGTTTCTAAATCGGTTTCAATTAAAAACTGAACAAATTCTTGAATATTTCTTTTTATTTGGAAATGACTATCTTCAAAAACTATTTTTAGTTCAGCTTTCAAAACTGCAATATCAAAAAAACCTGGATAAGATTTGTCTAAATTATATATAATATTTTCTGGAAAATTTTTCTCAAATTCTGCATATTTGGTAGTATCTGAAAGTTTCAAAAATTCAAATAGAGATAAAAAACAAAACCTATTGTCTAGCTCAAGAAGTATTTGATCAATTATATGATTTAATAATTCAAAACAAAGTTCTTTACTTGAAATTTTTGTATCTTCCTTACTAATTCCCAAACTTTCTAAATTTTCCTTTTCATTTACGTTATTCCAGAATTCGTCAAAATTGGTAGAAATTGCTTTTATATCGTTTTTAAAATTATTTATCAGCTCAATGCAATATTCGACATTAAATAATTTGGATTGCAATTTTTTAAATAAAACATCAGTATACGGCAAAAATATATTGAAAAAATAAAGTAAAACAATAAATTTTTTGTCATTCAAACTATGCGATAAACCCTTTGACAAAACAATTGTATTACTATCCCATTCGTTTTCATTATCAATAATAAGCTCGAAAAAAGTTTTTAAATCTTGTTTTAAATCAAAAATCATTTGCACAATTCGACCGTTGTTTTCCCATTGAATTCGATCGCCTAATGAAAGATTGTTTTGCACAATATTTTTAAAAGCATCAAACCTTTTTGATGATTGGCTAAAGAAATTGGAAAAGCTTTGTAAACTTCTAAAAAAACTTGCACAATCTTTTATATTTGAAGTGCAATTAGAAATAACAAGATTAAGTTGATCAGCAATGCAATGAATAAAATGCGCATGCGGAATAATTTCTTTAATTTTTTTTTGAAGACAAATTGTATTACCTGAAATAACGGGTGTACTGTCGTAACTTTGGCAAACTAATTTATATAAAACTTTTTCGTGTTTCAAAAATGAAACAATGAAATCAAATAAACCTTGAGCTGATCTACCTAGAGAAACATCAAGAAAGGAAATAAATCTTTCCACTACAATACCGTCGTTCTTAACGTACCTAAACATAACCGCTAATTGTGATTTTTCAGAAACATCACTAGTTGAATTTATCAACAACGCTACATAATTAGAATGTTCGCACTCTTTACGGATTTCTTCTTTCAAAATGGAAGCAATAGAACAAATTAAATCATTTTGAACATCGCTTGACAAGCCAGAAAAAACTGTAGTGCTGTCAAGATGATTTCTAAGCAACGGATTATAATTCGCTAATAAATTTACTAACTCCGCATAATTACCTCTATTTAAAGAATCTGGAGATTCGTTACCTCCTCGAAATGGTAATTTCTGACAACACAAAAAACATGTTACATCAATAAAACATTTCATTATAGCACGATTTTTTTTAACTCTTTCATTATGATTTGTAATGTTTATTAAACGTGCAGAATCAGATAATTTTTTTGTCTGAGTATTATCACCAAAACATTTGAGAGCAATAATTGCCCGCAAATGTGAAGCACTCTCTTTATGTTTTTTAGCTACTTTCAAAAAATTATTCATATCGCCAAAACCTACAGTATTCCAAGCAGTGTTTTCTAAACTAAATAAAAGACATGGCCAACAATAAAGTTTATTGGTATTAGAGCAACCGGTTAACCAAGTAAAACTTTTATAATGCAGAACAGAAAAATTTCGAATACACCGTCGTGTAGTTGTTTGAATCGTTAGCACTGGAGTTATGCGACCATTTTTTATAATCTTTTTTTTCTCATCGAAGTTTCTAGAAGAGAAATTTCTTTCTAATAAATTTTCTATAACGCAATTACACGCACTCATATTTCGATTTTCTATTATGTATACACAAAATTTACTTCTGTAACTTCAACTTTTTCACTTCACTTTAAATTTTATAATTTTTATATTTTATTCACTTTCACTATAATCTCACTTTTATTCACTAATAATCTAATAATTCATTAATTTTAATTTAATATTTTAAACTGATGACACTTTTCACACTAAATACATTATGATTGATACAATATCGTATATTGAGAAGAATAGCGGGCAAAGTTAAAAATATAATTTTTCGCTTCCCAGCATTTAGTGTTTATATAGTAGTTTTTGAAACATAACCCCAAATTATTAACATAGGTTATAAAATGTGGATAGAACTTTCATACAGGAAAACTAACAAATGTGCTCTAATCAGTATTATTTTGATGAGCAAAAGTTTAATACTAAAGAGTAAACGAGTAATTAAAGCGAGTTTTGCATGTAACTTTAATATGCCGAATGTATACATAACATGTAACTATATGCTTAGTATACACATTCAAAAAAGAGAATGCATACATTTGTTTCATTATATTTGTATTGTAATTTTTAAGTAACCAATACCAAACATAACAACAAAAGAATAAAAAATAGGAATGTTTGATACAACAGTGAACAGAGAAAAAAAAGAATGCATACATTGAACTGATTATTCTCTCAATTTTGTTCTTGGCATTTTTCCAGGGTTGCCATCAATCGAAAAAAAATTAACCAATTTTCTTCAAAAGTTACCAACCATAATTGCATATAAAAGTCTTCGAAATGGGTTTAAACATTTTCTTCATCAAACTTGTAAACTCGATATATAAAAATTTCATTTTTGTCAAATAATTTTATTGCTAGAATTGGTTGCGATCAAATGTTGTAGCTGAATCAAGAAGACTCAATTGAAATTAATATAAGGATATTTAAAAAAAATTTAGACATCTCACTTGTTAAATATCTTTCTTATTGTAAGCTTAATGTTTCCTTTTTGTGGTATATACATTCAGTAATAGTTGAACACGAAACAAATAGCCAAAATGAATTTTGAAAACTGAATTTTGATTCTAAAATATATTATTGCATGTATACACATATCTGAAAACGAAACTTTTTGGTTAAGCGTCGGTTATGACGAAATCTATCTTTAAACGAAAAAACATTTAATAAATTAGTGTGAAGGAAAACTGCACTTTATTAACAACTTTTTTTTGTTTTGCAGCAAAGGAAATATTTTGGTATGCCAAATGGCAACCTTGATTATCACTATTCTTCTTTGCTATTCTCTTCTTATATTTGGTTTGGAGTGTAGAAAATAATGAGCAATTTAAATTCATTCCTCATTTCATATAAAAACAAAGTATGAAGCATCTACTAAGTGTAAGTATAATCCATAGTACACATATATGTATGTATATATATAGTAGTAGTAAATATGTAATTTCTTTTTACTATATTTTCCAATATAAAAAATAATTCACACAGCCATTTGTTTAGGTTCGCCGTCATACAAAAATTCTTGTAGTTAAAGCAGTTCAAATCTACATCTTAATCAAACCCTAAAGCATTTTTATATCTTAAAGGATTTTACCAAATTTTTTCGATTTGGACTTTTATTTGAATTCCGATCACTCTGCTGTCATGTCATATTAAGCTTTAATGAGAAAGTACCTAACAAACGGGCTTTAAATATGATGTTGCTACAAATATAAATCTTAATGCTGAACTGCAGACTAGAGATCAATTAGATTCTGAAATAGAAAATTTTGTTAAATTGATACGGAAAGCAGCTTGGAAAGGTACAAGGTTCTCTGAAATCAAACCTGTATCAAATAATTGTCCTAATGCTATAACTGATTTAATAATTTAACTTTTTAAATCTTTTAAATATTTAACAAAAAGAAGGACTAGACGTAAATGACATGAGTCTCGTCACCAACAAAACTATCAACAAAAATACAAATATTTTAATCAATATTTTAATCAATATCAAACGAAAACTATAAAAAGGGCTTATCGGCAAAGAAAAAGACGAATTATTCGTAGTGGAAAGCAACGAAGAGTACTAAGAAACCGATAAAGCAAATCTCTCACTGAAAAAAAAGATGCCTCATGGGCAAAAAACAATGTGGATAAAGCTGAATTATTTGCTGATCACTTGGAAGGAATTTTTGAACCAAATGAATTAAATGAAAATAAATCTGTACATGTCAACTTCACAAACAAAAATTTACCAAACCCGCCACAATTGAATTTGTATGGTGCTAGAGTATCAATCCAAAACACAACGAAATACCTAAGTATGACATTAAATGTCAAGCTCAGCGTGTAAATATTGAGAGCTTTAAAGTTATAGGGTAGAGGATTGTAAAATTGCTGCAACCGCATTGCCGTGACTTTCATTGAATGCAGACACAAAAACACGATGATTTAGTGACTTTTCTGCTAGATATAGCGGAAAAGTCACTAAACCAGCATTACCGTATATAATTGTTGTACTACACACATAAAATTTTATGAATAAAAACATACAAATATTATTGTGTACAATAAAAACAGTAACAAAATCATAAAAACAAAAAAAAACAAAAATAATAAACAACTCATTCTAGGTTGGAGTATTTTAGAAGTCAATGGATACAAAAAAAAAAGAAAAAACAAAAAAATAAAAATAAAACAAGCCATCAAGGTATCAAGGTTACATTTTTGTGCTTATGATTTAAACTTTTCTTACTTCACTACCGACTTAACACAACTCTCAACTTTTTTTTTGTTTTTCTGTTTCGTTAGATCTGCTTTTTATTTTTGCTTTTATTTACTCTACAAACATAATGTACGTATGAACGTATATATTAATACTATATACCACGAAATACGATAATAATATTTACATTTATATTTACTTTTGTATTTATTCACGTATATCTTAGTATAACAATATCTTAGATAAGGATTACCATTTGAACTCTTTAAAGAGTACAAGTATTCTTTTTGCGCCCTGTACTTTTCTTAAACTTCAGTTTTTTCGAAATTTAGCTGAATGATCGAATGAAATGTTTATTGGGATAGTTTTTGTGTTGAATTATGGTGAAATAATGAAATTTCATATTTTTGGTACTGTCTTCTTCACTAATACAAATTGTACTTTTTAAAACAAACCCGTACGGTAACCCTAGCTTAGACAATTGAATACTGAAGCCTCTGTTGAGGAGATCTCTAAGCCAACCATTTATTTATTGTTTTCTTGTTTACTTGTGCAAATTCTTTTAAAAGGAAAAAAAACAAGTAATGAAAATTTCAGAAAGAACAAAAACTAGATTTGATAGTAGGTAAAGGCGCGCTTGGAATTTATTTTTCTTTTTATCTTTATTTTTTCGAATAGTTTTTATATTACAGTGGAACTTGCTTATAACGGACCTATGGTCACTAAAACCAATATAACAGGAAAAAAAACGTATCGTCGAAACATGTTCCGACGATTCCTAATCGAATAACATGTGAAAATCTCAATATTTGTGTTAATGGAAACGTTGTCTTATTTTCAAATATAACACATCAGAAGCGGTGAGCAACTGAAGTAAATGTTGCAAAAACACCTTCAAATTTTACTAACATTATGCTTATTACATTTTTGATTTCGATTTCAATCTGTTAATAAGAAATTTTATAGAATTTCGAAAAGAAAAGAGTCAAATAGCTTACTCTCTTTCATTTGTTTCTTTCTTTTACTAAAAATGAATTGAGAATGAGTCTATCAAGTATTCGACCTGATATTAAATGTATAATAGTAAATTATCAAAGTCAATTTTCTCATTAAGAATAAACTAATATGATATTATTTTGTGATATAAATACAAGACATCGTTTATACATTAATATGCGTAATTGAAATGGAGAACTCGTTTCGAATACAATTTCTCTGTTAGACGGAAAGAAAAATGGAGACCGAGTTTCATATTCTCAAAAACCAGCTAAGGCATTTACATTCGTTAAGTCCGTAGCGTGCTGAAAGAAGTGAAACCCAAGAAACCTTTGCCTGGAGTTCGACAGACCAAAATAAATGAACGAACAAATGTTTTATTAAAATGGGGCCGTGAAATGTTGAAAAATATGTGAACCATTTATGTAAATAATGAAAAAAAAATTGTATACAAAACTAAATTGCATTTAGTATTTAAGTACATTGGCCACTTTTGCTTCATTTTATAATTTTTTTCTCTCGTTCTGATAATTTAGTAGGCCAATATAAAAAAAATGGTTTTTGAAAAATGCTTATACATATTGATCATAAATTCTCTTTTTTTTTAATAATGGCCGAAGTAAACAACAAGGTACGCGATTGTAAACAGCTTCATTATAAATAAATCCCACTGTATTTTTTAATTTTATTTTTGTTAAATAAAATTGAAAAGAAAAGAATTTTTTTACCTACATTATGTATACGTATGTACATATGTATATATTTTGACATACACATTTATATGTATGTACAATATGAGTTACATATACATAATAATTGTACTTTAAATATATGTTAAAATAATTGTAAAAGGTAATAAAAACTGGTCTATGATTAGAGTAGAGGTAAAAAAAAAATATGTATGTTAAATGATATTGGCAGAAGTAAAGAATTCAATTGGTTTCTTATTTTGTTTTTTAATACATTCTAAATAAATAAAATGAAAAAAAATAATAATATAAAAGTTACAAAAATTTGTTAAAAAATGATTTTTCATTTTAATTTAATTCAGTGGAACATACGAATATATATACTTATCGCTTATATACTTATGTGTGTATGTATAAATTTTTCTATATTATAAAATTATATTGTAAATTTAATGACTTTCAATTGAAATAAAAATAATTTTCAGTTAAAAATAGAAATAATTTAATTATTTGATATTAAAAAATTTATTAAAAGAAAAAAAAAATATTCTGTTTATTTTTTGTTTTTATAGTAAAATTTGCTTACATACATACATACATATGCCAGTATGAGTAGAAATATCAAAGTAAAATCCGTATTAAAAGTACCAAATTGATTGTCAATATGAATTTATATCTCAAGGTAATAAGAATTAAGCTTTGGACCCTGCTCGTTTTACTTTCACTTTTCGAAGTAAAAAATAAAAAGAAAAAAATTTTAAGAAAATTTTTTGCCTGCTTTCCATTAAAAGTGTTGAGTTTATTGAGTTTACAGTTACAAAATAATTTTGGTATTTACAACTATTTGATATTTTCGATTAATCTATTATAGTGAATTTAAATTATCCACTTTAAATCCTGCTATCGTGTAAAGAATAAATAGGCTTTGTATTACAAAATATCAATCTGTAATCAAAATAATTTCTTGTACATATTGATGTATCTATGTAGTATGAGTACATACAAATACATTCTGCTAACTTAATTTGAAAAGTTTACCTTTAATTATGTACAGTTAAAAAATATTTAAACAAATTAAATTTAAACTTTGAATTTAACCTAACTTCATTAAAACACCCTGACTTAATACTTTTTTTCTAAAAACCCTGTATATGTACGTACATATTATGTACACCCGCATGTTAATGTAATAAAGCTGAACCTATTATAATCACATTACACTTAATAGAATTTTTAAAAGTAAAACTGAATATTACTTTTATTATATTAGTATAATTCGAGTACACTTAGTTAGCACACTTAAACAAATTAGTAAAACTATTAATGAATTAATTACTCCAATTTGAAAAATAAAGAAATTAATAAAGTAAATAATTTCATGTTATTAAGGAGAGAAAAAGTTCAGTTCTAACATTACACTGTAAATATATAATACCGTTGTCAAAATTAAAAAAATAATAATAATAATAATAAAAATAATATACAACAACCGTTATATTCAATTTTGCAAGTTTTTTAATATTTTTGTGGTTTAAGAGTAATTGAATAATAATTCATAACACCTTTAATAATTTAATAATTCATCATCACTTTTCAGATACGGATTTTTCAATTAAAAAATTTTCTACCGTTCAAAAGATGTTACAAAAACAAAACAAAAAATTTCTTTTTTATTTTCTTGCTTATTTTTTCTTCTTTTTTAATAAAAAAATATAAGCAAGAAAATTTAAATTCTAATCCGGAATTAAAATTTTTAATAAGCTTTGTTAAATTTGTTGGTTTGTCCGTTCTCTGTTTTAAATATAAAAAATATTAAAAAAGTTTGTATTTAATTACATAATGCATATATGTATGTATATACATATATGCGTATGTCTATCCACATACGAAGAGAACCTGCACATAACATATATTATACATTTTTACATATATGTACGTGTGATTTTCGAATAAAAATTTATCAGAAAATTTACGAAACAGAACAGAAACTTTTTAAAATATTTTTTTCACACCTAGCAAATGAATCTTACAAATCTTAACTTCACAAAAAGTCTATGATTCTCAATTTGTAGTTTAAAAATTTAAAAAGAAGTTCTAGCAATTCTAGCAATCTTTGAGAACTAATCTTTTGTTAGCGGTTGGTCATTTTTTAATTGATTCAAGGTTAAATTATTATTTAATATGCATATATATACATACATAATGTTTAAAACAAAAGAGAGATTTCAAGTTTTACATTACATTTTCGATTTTGGAATCTATTCTAATATTTTATACATTTTTTTCAACATAAATTTTAAACATAATAATTGTTTAAATAAGCTTTTTTGATTTTCAAATTTAGAAATTATTTCAACTAACCATTAAATTCGACCACCATGTTAAAACTTTCTTTTAATTTTAATAATAAAATCAATCAATTTTTTACTGCATATAAACGAATAAGTAGAAGACATTTTTTGCTTATTTAAGGAAATTGTGCTATATTACAAACCATAAATTTGTTCATAATTTATTTAATTTTTATTATCAGTCTATACATACATACATATGTGCATGTACACAGTTTTACTTTGAACAATAAAAAATTATGATAAATGATTGGTTCAGTTAGTTTTGAACAGGTGGAGAACTTTAAAGAATAAATAAAGAAAAAAAAGGGTATTCCAAAACAAAATAAATTTCAAATTTATAAAAACAAAGTAAATGTGTATGTGTTTGTAGGCAATAATAAAAAAAATAACACTATATTTTCTTAGTATTGAAAGTCTTGATCTTTTAAGATCATTTTAAGATTGTTTTTATTTTTTTTTACTTTTATTTCTTTAAAAAGAAAGGCATAATAAAATTTTAACAAAAGTTGATTATCATTTTGATGGATTATAAAAATAACAATAAAAATGTATAGAACACAAGTTTTTAGTATAATGTGGTAACAATAAAGAGAAAATAAAAAAAAAATAAAAGAGAAGAAAGAATGTGTGCCACTTACCTTGGTATGAAGAAATGCTAAACTTTTGTTAACATTTTCTATTTTATGGACTCGCATACGACCATTATTTGGTTTACCCAATTTTTCTGATGAAATTATTTCCAAAAGTTTTAATAATTTTATGCCATCCGCTAAATCGGTAAATAGATCTTCGACCTCCATTTTGGCCTGAACATAAAAAAATACGAAATTGAAAATATTAATTTTTTGTTTTTCTTTAATATTAATATTTTTTGATGAACAGCCACATTTCAATAACAATATGTGAAAATTATAAAAAAAAAAAGATTAAATGTTATAGGAAGTTAAGTTTATGGATAAAGATTAAAAAGCAAAGAAAAAATTCAATTTAAGAAGATAAAATAAAAATTTGGTTAAATTAAACAATATTAAACGAAATAAAAAATTTAATAATTTTTTGAAAATGCAAGAAGAATTAAGAAAATAAATTTTTGGATTGAAAATAAAATTGGGACTGGTCACAAATTTTTCCACAAAATATTAAATATGGGCTAAGAGCCAAATCAAGTTTAATCCAAAAAATGAAGTGGTTATAAACTAAATCACTCGTTTCGAATACAAGAAATTTTATAACCTCACTTCGCCTTGACTTTACTATTCTGTAATAGAAATGATAATAATTTTTATTATTTTTACTATTTCACTAAGTATTATATACACACGATATATATTGCTTTTAAACAAAAGTGAATGTCGAGAAAAATTTTTACAGAACAATAAAGTGTTACTTAAATGATGTCAACCGCATTTCAGACATCTTACAGATTGCGACGTAAATCACACATTTATGAAAACATAATTTTCAATATAGCCTTTTCAATTAAATTATTTCCAACGAATTTAAATTAATGTAAATTAAATTTATCACATCATTTTGATCAGAACTGAATTTTCACTATTAATTTATTTTAGACCGCACTGTACCAAATTTTGCACAGTCAAAATTGACTTTTTTTCTCTGATTTTAATAATTTTAATATTCTAACAATATAATTTAGCAATATTTTTTTTCTTTAATTTGAAGTTAACAAAACGAAAACTATTATTATTTTATTAGAACTCGTGTGGTCAACCATTAATGATTCCAAATTTCAATATTATAAAAATAATTTTTCTTTAAAATATCTTACCTTTATTAAAAATGAATTCATCCATTTTGTAAAAGTTTTCTTTTGTATATGTAGACGTTCTTCTTGTAATGTTTTGATACGTTCTTGTTCGAATCTTGCGATTCCATCACGTTGTGATGTCAAGTTGGAAGAACTACCAGAGCGTGTTTGTAATTGCGAATATGCACCTGGTTCATATTGAGATGCTAAAAAATAAAACATTTTTGATATTTAATAAAATTAATATATGTATTTGGGAAAATACAAAAATTTTACAATTATAAAATTTATTTTTTTTTAAATTTATTCAAATTTTTGACACATAGCAATAACGTACATAGTTTTAAAAATAAAAGCAAATACAAAGTAAACAAGTAAAGTTTCAAATTCCTTTCAAATTTTAAGGGTCTATGGTAATTTTTGTTAAAATGCCTTGAAAAAAACCTTTATATGCTAGTGTGAGGGTTTTTGAACCTTCTTGTTATAATTTTCACCTATGGCAAAAATCGTGTATATATATATTTATAAATTCCAGTTTATACGTAAGTTTATGTCCCGTAAAAACTTTGACAAGAAAGATATTATTTAATTATTAAAATTAAGCATTTCTTATTCTTTGCTTTTTGTCAAATATCAAATAATTACTTGTTAGACCTTATCGATCTAGTTCACACCATTTTTAAATATATACAGTTTGAAAATATTAAACGATAACCTTTCAGATTACATTAAAAGTTCTCTTTAAATATTAAAGAGTTTATTTATATAAATGTACATTACCATATTGGTTTTTATTTTCACTTAACATATAAAATAAAAGAAAATTCCCATTTAAAAGATATTAACACAAAATGGAGCTATTAATAATATTAAAATAAAGGTAAACAGCTATATAATACAACTATGTACATATGTATGTATTAGAAATAACAAATATTTAATAATAATATTATATGAAACCATATAAATTCATAAATTTTTAAAAGAAAACAGAAAAACCTCAAGGGAATTAATTCATAGTTTACGCATTCAAAAAATTTTTCTTTCAAATTTTTGCATTACACTATCGTGGTACTTATTTTCTTAAATAATTTATGATATACAGAATGGGTCAAAAAGGTATACAACATAATACATATACCATTGATTAGAGAATAAAATTTGGGTAAAACTTTTGTTCTGAAATGGGTGCGGGAGTTTTTGAGATATAAAGATTTTAACGAATTTTTACGAAATTCCTCCTTGCCCCAAATTTTTTATTTTCTTATGACTCCCGCTTCCAAAAATATAGAAGCTTCAAACGAAAAATTTTTAAAAGATCTGATAAAAAGCTTAAAATAAAAATATTACATTTTACGAAACGTCGCTAAACACAAGCATTGGAACTTTAGGAAAAATTCCAATTTTATCTTATTTTGTATTTTTCTAGTTTTCTTTATCCCGACAATTTCGTATAAAATTTTTAGAAACTTTAAAATGGTATATTTATACCTTTTTGAATCACTCTGTATATAAATTCTTCAAATATAAAACTTAAGCTATAACGCTGTCAGTAAGTAGGTAATAGGATTTATTAGGATTTATTAGAAAATATAAAAATGCTGGCAAAAATGACAAAAAAAAAAATAATTTCAAATTTCATTTTGTATAAAAATTATTTTTGCTTTCTTAATTATTTTTGCATTTCTATTGTACTTCAATTGAGTTTGATAAACTTATCAATTTTAATTGATTTTTTGTATTTTAATTAGTAAATTTTTACTCTTTGATTTTTAATACATATACCTATACAATGTATAGGCACTTTATTTCAATAGGAAATATTTTTTTAATTAAATATTAAAATTTCAAAAAACTAAAAAAAACTTCAAGTTCGCGATATTATTCATTTGGACGAAAGTAAATTGAAATTGTAATATTGTTTGTTCCAAACAAATAAAAGGGCGGTAAAAGTGAAAACATGATATCACAATTCAACTTTATGTCGGTATATTATGAATAGATTTAAAGCGAAAGTAAAATAGTAGTTCCGCCATTTTTTAAATTGTACGAAATTACCTACAACCTTAGATTTTATGAAATTGGGGTTTTAACTTTAAATACACTTAAAAATCGAAATGAAGTTTTCAATAATATTATAGTAAAAATTTTAAATGCTGCAATAATTTCAAATATACAATGTTATTATTAATTTACGTATGTAAATTCAGCCATCTGTCGGAAACTATTAAAAACAAATTAAACTCTTTATTACTCGTTGGAGAGATAAAGTAATACAGTGCAAGAAAATTTTATAAAATCAGTTGAATTAAAACTAAAAATCTCTAATACAAAAAGTGAATAACAAAATTTACAGCATGTATACATCCTACATATACATACATACATATGCATGCATTAATATGTATTTATTATAAATTAACTTCAACCTGTAATTATATGACATTATGTACATATGAATTTAATATAAAATATAACATTGTTACGATTAACTAATACACAAAATGCTAGTCACAAAATATTTAAAACAATGAAAAATATTTCAATTCTTATAATAACAATTTTTATTTTTTTTTTTTTAAATACAAAGGTGAAATATTTTATTTAATAATCATATTCTATAATCATGATTATTTTTAAAATTTCATGGAATTTTCGATTACATTCCAAGAATTGAATGACGTATAAAATTTACTATCAAATTACTTAATGACACTCATAATTATTTTAAGTTTAATTATATACACACATATGTACATAACTTATAGTAGCCAGCCACTCATAGTAACCAAATTAATAGTAAATTTTTAGAATATTATCTCAAATTATATTTATTTACTTCCACGTCATTAAAATTCCTAAAATTTTTGTCATCAAATAAAACGCTTCTTATTCTTGTATTTAATTTTTTTTTCGATAATAATAACGCGTCTCAATATCTAAAATATTTAGAATATAGTCTAATTAAATTTACATAAAAAATAATGTTTTTTGTATATGTACAATTGTTTTGAAATTTTATTTTTGTACAATTAAAAGCATAATTAATAAATAATATCAAAAAAATCTATAGTTATATTTATATAACAAATAAAAATATACAGTGCATATAATAAAATATATCACATTTTTTTATTGAATTTTAATTAATTTGAAGATTACAATGAAAATTACTAAAAATTAATTAATTGAATCAAAAATTAAGTGTAACAGTTAGAATAAATAAAATAGTCAAAATATTGGATTTGAATCGGAGTTGAGCACAAATTAGAAGAAAAAAAAAACTACATGCCATTAAAATTTTTGAAATAAAATTTTTTTTGTAAAAATTCTCATTTCTGTTCAACCGTACTGTGTATTTCATTAAATAATTTGAAAAATTTTGACATTTCAGAATTAACTCGCTCTAATAAAGGCAAGGTTTTATTTCTAACATAAACAACAACTTTATTATTTCAGAGAATACCTTAAACCCAAAGTAAAGGTAATGGTTATAATTTTTACGTTCATTTTTTTTTGTGCCAAAATTCTAAAATGCGTGCTTAATTGTTTTTGGGTTGGGAATTTTTATTGTTTTGAATTTTTTTTTTAATTGATAATATTTACTTATAATATGAGAAAATAATCGTAGTAATTGTTTTTGAATTGAAAACTAAACTATGTTATAGTAGTAAATAGTAAACAATTTATTAGTTTAAGTAGTTTAAATGATACGAGTAACTACGGAATCTACTGAATAAAAATATCATATTTTTGTATGACGCACGTTACGTATGTATTTTATGATCTTATACTTACGAGTTGTACACGAAATGGAATATCAGCTGAGCGAACTTATAAAAAAAAGAAATTTGATATTTTGTAAAAATTTTATTTTAACTCAATGTGTAAGTAAATTGATTTTTGGAAAACAACAACAAAATCAATAAAAATTATTGTAAAATTTAAATTTTAAGAATAATTTAGATAAAAAAGCTTTTCTTATTTAGCGTTTAAGCTTTCAGGTATAATCACAGGTAAAAATGAATATTGAAATTTATATTCTTTGTACACCTTTATAGCACATATAATTTGATAATAACATTACTTATCTTAATAAATGATCTTGATAATTTTTAATAAACATTTCAATGTTCTGTCGTAATTAGTCTATTTTCGGAATTTTTTTATCAGAAAGCAAAAGAACAAATAAATATTTTTCTCAATTTTAATGTTAAACGTGTAATGAAATTAAAACTTTTTGAAGGGGGACACAAAAATTCAAACCCCAAAAAATAGTTTTGCGTGCTGTAATACTTTAAGATTAAATTTGATAAATACCGAAAAATACTGGATTTAATCTTTTATATGATAAAACTTGAAAATAATAAAATTTGAAACCAATTACTATACGGGCATTAATGAAAATCAATTTTTTTATATCACGAAAGCCACAAATATACGTGGGATTGTTCAAAATAATTGTATCAATTATATCCTTTTAACCTTAAAAATCTAGAAAATCAATTAATTTTATATTCAATTTATTGTAAAAAAAATAAATACTTTGGTTAGACTCAACTGAGTTCATTACATCCTGTATATAACAAGGGTGTATACAATGCGCAAGAGAAATTTTAAAATGCTTAAGGAACTATTACTTCAAAACACTTTTCTAGTAAAAAAATCAATATAGAAAAACGCTTAAATCCAATTTTAAAATTTATATTACAAAATTTCGTTCAATTTTCGCATGATTAACAATTTATTAAATAATTATTAAATAACTAATATTTAAATAAATTTTAATTAATTTATATGTGTACGTATGTATGCATAATATTAATATCACTATCAATCACGTACTATAAAACAAAATAATAAAAACATAATTTACCTAATTTAACATATATGGCAGTTTGAGTACACTTGAAATCTATATTTACTATGTCAGATTGAAAGCCCGAAAATTTCATTTAGCTATTACAATTCAAGTCACTAAATAACATTTTAAGTTAAGCTAAGCTAATTTTTTTGATTGACTCGAATGAAAGCCGGCTTCAAATCAAGTAACGTTTAAATTAACATAAAATAAGCTTATAGGGTAAGTACGCTTGAAGCTACCATATAAACGGGGTAATTCCAAATATTATGTTTTATATTACTTACTTGGTAAATCATGAGCAAATAAATGATAATCGTGTATTGATAATGCTCCAGGTTTTAA